TACTTGGCCACAACTTCAAGGGGCTGGACCCGGGGGTTTTGCAGATAAGGGAAATTTCTACCGGTGCTGTTGTCTGGAGTGTGACAAAGGAGAGGGCCTGCAGGTCTGTTCGTTATGGTCACTGCCCCGTCCCCAGTCCCTCTGAGCCAGTTAAGCACCGCTGGCAACAGCCAGGTGAGCTCTCTTGCTTGCCCTAGTTTAGGTTGCCATTGCCTGGCAGCAGGGCTGTGGTTCCTCCAAGACAGTGTCCAGAGGCAGCATCACCCTTCTGCTTCTTTCCCAGGCTTGCTGCAGGGAAGGCAAAACCCCAGAGCATCGGCATTTGCCTGGAGGCTGCTGGTCTCAGGCTGTTTTCAGGCTGGCAGGCAGGAGCGCCCGGCGCTGCCGGCTCCCGGGCCCGGGTCTGCTCTGGGTGGGCTCGCTGGGTACGGCTGCCCCCAGCAGCCAGCAGCCTGGCCCCAGCCCGCCTCTCCCGCCCCGCTGACCAGGGGTTTAGTCTGAGGAGCCCACGTTGACACTGAGAAAGAGGAAAACATTTCCTGTCTCGTTAATCCAATATTTGAATTAGAGTTGGGCTTGGAGAGGAACCTCATATCTCTGCAGAGATAAGACCTCACATGCTCCCGCACTGGAGTTAGCACTGCTACAAAGCAGGAGAAAGGCCTGAAAGGGGAGATATCCCACCTGCTGTCGTCGGGAGCCTGCACTGAGCTGTGCTCAATGGGGCATCCTTGGATGTGGCTCCAGACAGTGGCTGCCCTCACTTTGCTGCAGCTCCAGCCCAGGACACATACTGGAGCTGCTGGGGACACTAGAGATGGGTGCCCACATCAGCCACCCTCATGACCAGGCAGGGAGATGGATGGAGCTAAGCTCCTCATCCTGCTCCACCTCAGCACTGCCCCAGGAGGGACAAAGATCGGGGGCTTTGCAAAGGGATGCGGAGCCGGAGCAGCAGGTGCCCTGGTGGGTGCAGTCCCCAGAGCACCTGGGAGCTCTTCCATTTGCAGCGCCAGGAGACAAGGGGATGCCGACCAAGGAGCCACCAGAAGCTCTCAGACTGATTTGCTGGCATGGAGCTTCCAGGAGAAGGCATAGCGCAGGTTGGGGGGGGGGGAGCCAGCTCCTCCTCACCCGCAGTGCTTAGGGAGAGGCCCTGCTGGGACTTGTTGGGAAATGTTTAGGTGCAGCCGCGGCTCCCCGGCACAGGAGAGTTGGGGAGGTGACCTCTGGATGTCCTTGACTGCCGGTCTGGAGACTGTCCCTTGCGGTTCCTCGCCTTTGCCAGTTTTTCCGTGGTGGACACGGATGGTGCAGCCGCAGCAGGCGCAGAGCCCTCCTGTCCCCAGTCTGTCCCCAGGCACGCACAGCACGGCTGCTGCCGGATCTGGCCAGCCTCGGCAGGGGCCCGAAACGAACACAAACCCTCGATGCCAGAGTCCCTGCCGCCTCCCGGGGCAACCCCTGCTCCCACGGTTGAAGTTACAAATCCTTCACAGTGGAAAAGGATTGTCTGAGCTCAGCAGTAAATTAATAAAAAAGCTAATGCTCTGTCCTCCCAGCAAGCAAAGCCTCTGCAGATGCGAAGCTCCTTGCAACCTGCAAGCGAGTATCAGCTGCCTCTTTGTCCTGTGATTGCGACTGCGTTTCTGCTAGGGCTGAGGTCAGAGTTGGTTCATGCTTTAAAGAAAGCAGAGGAGGATGGAGCCTGTTCCCCCAAATGCCCTCCACCTTTTAGCTATGGCTTTCAGGTGCTGCTGCCCGGGCCACGTTGCTGCAGGGTTCTCCTGCTGCTGGAGGGGATGCCCAGGCTTGAGCTCCTGCTCCCCCAGAGGATGGAGGTGTGGCACGGAGGTACCCACGTAGCTGCCTGGGCATCGCTCTTCCCCGGAGCAGAGATTCATCAGACAAGTCGCAGTGAGCTGCTGGCAGCTTTCTGGTCACAGCCACGCTGCAGTGCACACAGGCCAGGTGTCTGGGCTGGAGGATGCCTCCAAATTTTTGAGCATGTCTCCATGGGTGTTTGCTGGCTGCACACCAAGAACCCATGGCTGATCTTCCTACAAACTCCCAAGTAAAATTAGAACAAAAGTTCACTCCTCTCCCAAGGCAGCAGGAAATGCAAAGGGTGGGAAAAGGGAAAGTCAGAGCAGATGAGGTCCAGTGCCCGCAGGCAGCCTCCCCATTGCTGCTGCCACCCCCTACCCGGGCGGGGGGCTGCATCCTCCCCCACCCCTGCGGCCAGCCCAGAGGGGCTCTGTGCTGGGCTGGTGGTGCTGGGAGTGATGGATTCCCTCCAGAGACTCAAGTCCTCGGTGGCTGGGCTGGTGAAATGACTCTTTCTAGCAGAGGGGGCTGTCTGGAGCCGTGGCTTTGTGCTGGGATGCCCTGCCGGGTGTCCGTGCGGGTGGCCGTGCTGAGCAAGGGCTCTCCCCGCTTTTTCTGAGGAGGAGGACAACTGACGCAGGCAGAGCTGAGTTTTCGGGCATTCCTAACCTGTGCTAGCTGGGAACCTGGGAACATCCACAGCCAACCACTGCCTCGGGATATCTGCGTGCAGTGTGGCTGTGCCGGGGCACTCCTGCCTCCGAGGTGCCCAGGGAGGGCAGCTCAGCAGCATTAGATTGCAGGAGTTTATTTTTACCCAGCTCTGTTGCCAATGGGGACATGTCACATCTGTGGAGTTGATCAAAAGACACCCCGAGCACTGGTGTCAGCTGCTCCTTGTGATCTCAGCACCAGGATCTTTTCCCTTGTGGCATATCAAAAGGAGCAGGAGAATTTGACTGCTTTGCTATTTTTAATTGAACACACACACACACACACACACACAGACACACATATAGATATGTATGTATGGCTTTTCTAAAAATAAAAGCCTTTGCCTGTGTTCCCATGGGAAGATTTGGGGAGAAGGGGGAGCCAAAGTTGTTGGAAGACTTTTTCTGGAGCAGGCGCAAGAGCGGTGGCAGGAAAGCAGGGACAAGCACAGCAGGTAAGGGACACATCTGAAAGGCCAAAGGACGTCTGATCCCAGAGCAGCCCAGGATGCTCCTGAGCAGAGGGGACAAGAGAGCGAGGGGAAAGGTAACATCTGCAACCCCCAGAGCTGGCAGTGATGAGGACGGGGACCCTTAACCTGCTACATCGCTCTGACCACACGGGGAGCAAAGGTTTTTGCAGGGCAGGTTTGAAGAGCCCCAGCCTTGGGGGGCCCACAAGGAGCATCCGGATCCCAGAGCTGTTCAGGTGTTTGCATAGACTTTTTTTGTGCCCGATATACTTGGTGGCACCACGCTCGTGGATGTCTACCTGATACACCTCCCTCCAGCAGCAGGGCAGAGGGAGGCCTCTGGGGAGAGCATCCCCCAGCACTGACAGCTCCCCACAGCCCCCCACCCCGCTGCAGCCCTGGCCATGGCCGGGCTGGCAATCTGTTGCCAGCACATGGCACTGGCTCGCTCTCAGGCCATGGAGCTGCCCTCCCCTTGCTGCATCTTCCAAACTGCTCACCCTTTGTTCCACCGCCCCTGGGATGGGGCAGGGTGGAAAGCAGGTGAAAAATGCAAAATGGGAGTGGGTGTGTGCATAGGAGCGTCCTTTGGTGTGGCACAAAGTGTCCTAAGCCCGGTGGGGAGCGTGGTACACAGGCTCCTCAGCCTATGGGAACACAGGCAACACTCCCAGAGTATCCAAATTAAAAAAAAAAAAAAAAAAAAAAAAAAAAAAAAGAGAGAGAGAAAGAGAGAAATGCTGTCTTTTCCATTCCTGCAGCTCAGTTTGAAATCCCTTTTCCTTCCCATTGAGTGTTGGAGGAGACCCTTCCAGGGCTCTTCAGGAGGGGAGGCCCCCACGTTTTCCTGCCCCTGCAGCCTTTCTCACATGCTCAGATGTTTGCCTGCTCCAAAATCCATTTGCTCTGTAAATAAACTTGTTTCCCTCATCACCAGAAAACTCCCCCCAGGCAGCCAATACCGGGAGGAGTCGCACCAGACCTTTCCCCTCTGCGTTTGAACCTGGCCGTCGGGGCAAAGCCGAGCAGGGCTTGGCGCAGGCAGCGCAGGCAGGGCCGTGCCGGCACCAGCCCTCGCTCCGGTGGGCGCTGGGTGCAGCCGCGGGGCTTTGTGGCCAGGCAGCGGCTGGGAGCCGGGCAGAAGTGGGGCAGGTCCCAGCTCCTTTCTGTGGTTAGGTGGAAATTTTTAGCTCGGTTCCTAGAGCTTGCATCACCTCGTTCGCACCCGGATGTCGATCCGTTTCCATGCCGTTTCTCTTGTCCTGCGTGTGCAGCGTGGGACCAGGGTCTGTATTGCCTCGGTGGTGCCTTGGGACGTGCAGGACGTGGAGCTTCCCCAGAGGGACTGTCCCCGAGCGGTTCAGTGCCATGTGGTGGGGACGGGGACCGGGTACGGAGCAGCCACGCTGACCAGGCATGAGGCCACCCACCAGATCCTGGCCTCGTGCGTTGCTGCCTCATGTGAACCCAAGTCTCTTGCCTTGCTCTATTATTGCTGATCTCCAGGGCAGCAGGATAACCCTGGCTGTCACCCTTGGGGCACACAAATGGCTTCAGTTTCCCCTAAGAGCACCAGCAGCCACTTTGCCACGGTCCAGGTGGCTGTGCTGTGCTCTGAGCTTCTGCTCGCCGGAGGAGACAGGGCTCTTGCAATGCGGACGCTGCTGTTTCGACACGTGCCACAGCACGGGATGCAGCAGAGGGGCTTTGGTGGCAGTTGTGGGGTGGCTTTCAGAAACCAGCAGTGCCAGTGCCAGGCTGTGCAAACCAATCTGCAGGATGTGCGGTGAAGAGGTGCTCTCCGCGCTCCGCACTGCCGTGTAATTGCTCCTGCAGCCACTTGCCAAAGCTTATTGAGAAGAGGGTCCGAGTAATGGGCTGGAGCGGAGGGGACAGCACGCAGGGAAGGCGGGCTGTCTCCGCAGGTGGTTGCTGCCTGTCCCTGTGGCGTGGCGGTGGGCTCACCCCCTTTCTCTTCCCTTCCCAGTATGAGGTGTCCGGCGAGGAGCACCTCTACTCCGACTTCCCTGAGATTGATTTGTCTCAGCTGGATGCCAGCGACTTCGACTCGGCCGGCTGCTTCAGCGAGCTGCAGTGGTGCGGGGAGCACTCGGAGACCGACTCCAGCCAGTACAGCACCAACGACTCCGAGCTCTTCCAGGTACCCCCATCCTCCTGGTGCAGGGGACCCGAGGATGGAGGGGGGGGAAGGGCAAGGGAGGGGGAGAAAGAGAGAGGAAGGAGGGAACACACACAACTATTAATAGCTCCTCCCCAGCTGATTAGCGCTTCATTAATTTGCGCGCCAGCTCTAAATGGGGCAAACGGAGTAAGGCTAATGAGGAGGTGGACGAGCAGAGGAGAGCTGCTGAGCCAACCCTCCTGTGATGTATTATTAAAAGGGATTTATAGCTGGTGTGCAGCACATCCCGCTGGATTCCTGGGATGGCAGGGTGTGCCAGAGCCGCAGTGTGGGAGTCTCAGGGCTGTGGTGCGGGGCAGGAATATTCATTTCCCAGGAGCAGAAGGCAGCCCCTGGCTCTCCAGCTTTGGCATCCTCCCTGTGTTTGGGGCTGGGGTCCCTCTGGCAGAGGGCAGTTGGCTTCTCTCCTCGCCTTTGTGCTGGGATGGACCCATCACTCTGCCAGCGCCTGGGACTGCGCAGCGCAAAGCCGTGCTGGGGCAGAGGATGCTCCTGGGCACAGGCAGGGCTGGTCCTTGTCCCTTGGCACTGTTTTTGCCTCCTTGCAGAAGAGCTGAGCATCTTGAAGAGCAGTGGCACCAGGGCAGGGCTGTGAGCATGGCACAGTCAGGCTGGAGACAGGAGCTGCACTGGGGACCGGGCGCAGAGCGGGCTGGACAGCCCGTTCCCCTTTCCCAAAACCCATGCCGTGCCCCGTCCTCGGGGGCTGGGGTCTCTGTGCCCTCCTGAGCAGCACCCATGCCCTTACTCCCTCGGACAATGCGGCTGTGACCCACTGGTGCCTTCTAGTCACCAACTCTGGGTTACATTTTGGGAGGGAAGAGCATGTGTATTTAAACAAGGGGAAAAAAACCCAACAAAGCCCCAATATTTTCTAACCTGGCCATAATAACAACCCTCTGGCTTTTATGCTGTGCTGATGCTGTGCTTGAAAATGGTCCAGTCCAGCTGAGGGACCTTCATCACGAGATGCATATTTTCCGCTGAACTTCCTGGGGAAAAGATAAACAGAAAAGAAATGCAAAAGACAGGCTCATTAGGAGCAGTGGAGTATGATGAAATGTATCCCACTGAACTTGTATGCACAGTGGTCTCATGCCAGTAACAGGAGGAAAAGAAAAAGAGCCAAAAATGGGGCATCCTGCTGCCTTTCCCTAGAGCCTGTTCTAGTAACTGCGAGCAAGGTTAGGGCACAGAACAAAAGATATTTAATTTTCAAACAAGATGAGAGAAACACAGGAGGCTGTATGCAGTCAACAGTCCTCCTTGCGAGTCTGAATTTACCCCTGTGCTAATTTTGTAGCTGATGGTAGCCTGCTTCTTGTTGGACATGGTTTACATTCAGAATATGATGGAGGAGGACCAAAAAGAAGGAACTCCTGGCTCACTTCAGCCATTCCTCAGCTTCCGCATCCTCTTCTGGGCTTTTGCACCGTATTTTCAGACTGGAAGGGGACTCCTGGGGCTGTGTGGGACTGGGAGGGCACTGGGAGAGCTGGAGGTGTGTCAGCAGAGGTGAAGCCCAGATGGAAAGCGGGGCCCAAGGGGGCAGGTCAGGGTGGTGGGCAGGGAGGAGGCAGGAGCAGCCTGTGGCCCTGCCTGTCCCAGCGCAGCCCTGGCACAGCCCCAGACACTCACACATCTTCCATCAGCAGACCATGCTGTTTGCTGAAAAAAATAGATCAGGGGAGCTGTAATATAAGGCCCATCTCGGTTTGGGGACCGTGCTCTGTCAATATGGTCCCTCGTAGAGCGCTGGGCACAGCCGGCTTTAAGTGTGGGGGCTGAGAGCCCCTGTCAAGCTGGAGATGCCAGCGTTTGGGGGCTTTTAGTGAAAATAAAACCCATGCTGCTTGTTGCAAGCTGTGGCATATGGCCAGCGGTGCAGCCTGGGCTGAGCTCCCCCTGTGCCCTCCCGAGGGGCTGTGCCCTCTTGTCCACTGGGCAGTCCCAGCCTGAGCTTTCAGCTTTTCAAATTTTCTTTGCCTTCCCCATCAGGAGAGCTGAAAATAACTGTCCATGCCCTCTCGGGCCTCCCCAGCCCCATGGAGGGCAGGGGGCTGTGCCTGTCCCCTCCCCGGGCTCCCGTCCAGGCTGAATGCTGCTCCCAGCCCCGCTCAGCAGCGCTGTGATAGCCAGCCCAGAGTCAGCAGGATTTGGGCAAGGAGCCTCTTAATCACAGATCCTTTATCTGCTGGTGTTTGCCTCATGGTGGAGTGAAGGCAACTATTGGGAGATAAGATGCTCTGATTCATTATTTTCCCTGTAGGGGTGCAGGGGGACAAGCTGATGCTCCTTTTCCAGTTGAGTCTTTCTCCTCCTTATCCCATGCTAGTGCTGTGCTGGGGAAAAGCTCTCCCAGGCCCCCTGTGGGGTCACTGGGAAGTGTGGGTGCTGGTGTGGCACTGCTGGCCCGTCTTCCCCCTGCCTAGCATCTCCCCAGTCCCTCTGCCCAGCCTAACTCCCCCTTTCTTCTCTGCCTGCTCCTTTCAGATAATAGACAGCGAGAACGAAGCACTGCTGGCAGCCCTCACCGAGACATTGGATGATATACAGGGAGATGACATGGGCCTGGCTGCCTTCCGAACTATGGAAGAGGGGGACACGCTCAACCATGCCTACACCTCGCCTGCCCCCTCCCCCAAATCCACCGCCCCGGTCACGGGGGGGCCACCCCCGGCCCCCGAGTTTGATGAGCTGTCTCTAGTAAGAACCCACTTCCTACTGTTTAAGGTGGATTTGGATGAGCCCCTGATAAGCCGGCTGCATGGGTATGATAGGAAGCAAAGGTCTGAATTTTTTCATTCTAGGCTTAAAACTCTCTTTAACCGTCAATACCAAAGCATATACTTGTATTGTATACGTATACATGTTCTGCATCATTGCTGTCACCTCCATCACCATCCTCACGGGAACAAGCTGTGTGTATTCAAATATATTTATGAAGGGGGTGGGGGTGGGTGTCGAAGGGGAGGGGGCTGCTTTGGCAAGACCCACACCTGCTTTTAATTGGATGTCTGGATGTGGGGCTGCCCGGGGGTCACTCTAGTGCATCCCAGCCCCATGCCCATGGGCAATAGTGGCTGCTCCCACCCTGCTCTACCTCGGGGTCGAGCTCCCCACTGCTCTCTCAGGAGGGACAGAGGGGGCTTGGCCAGAGTGTCAGACAGCCCATGTCCTCAGCTTTCAGCGGGAGGGTTTGACCCCCCCATGCCTTCCACCACAACCCCCTCAGGGGTCGTGTGTCCTCCAGTCCCTACAGATTTGGTGACCAGAGCATCCCTCTTGGTTCCCTGCAATACCGGGGCTCCAGCCCCACTCCCCCTCCAGGCCAGGACTAACTGGCAGCATTTGCTGCAAAGCACCACCGTCCCCGGGAGGTCCCCTGGGACAGGGGCACCCGGCCTGCTCCCTCCTGGGGCTCACAGTCCCCCCCAGGGACCCGCAGCCTGGCCCCCGGGTCTCCCCAAAAGCCAGGGCTGTGGCGGGGAGCAGTGACATCCAGTGGTGAGAGCGTGCATTTCCACCGCCCACACCCTGTGCAGGGGGGTATATATCACACACAATATGTATGTGTATATATAGGATGTATACGTTGCAGGAATGGGGTGGGAAAAGGTGCTGGTTGCTGCCGCCAACAGGAGCTGTATGCCCAAAGCTGTGGGTGCCCCGGTTGACATTTCTCAGCAGACCCTGACCTGGGCACCCCCTATTTCTGTTGCCCCTTAAAACCCCCCACACCCACCCCAGGGCTCCGTGCCCACCGGCCAGCACGGGAGCCCCAGATCTGTCTCCACCGTGCAGTCCCCCAGCGCCTACGCAGTCGTCTTGCTGTTGAGCTGTTGTCGCCTTTGGTTGTTAGCGCGACATGGGGTGGAATATGAAATGTTGTTGCTGGGTGTGGGGTTGGTTTGTTTTTTTTTTTTCCCCCTATCCAAAAATGGTTTTGAGTAGAAGAAAAATGTTGTGCTGACCTTGCCATCAGAAGTGGTGGCACTGTGGGTAACCCAGGGAAAACCCCACTCCCACTGCCTGTGGGCTTGACAGAATGTGTTGGGGAAGATCCTAAACAGGTCCCCTCGGGGCTTGTGTCTGCAAAACGCCTTGAAAGCTCATTAATGAGCCGAGGCACTCTGGATGTTTTGGCTAAATGAACCTTGCAGGGGGACCCAAGCGAGCTGTCCAAACCCGTCAGTCATGCCAATGTAAAGTCTCTGTGACCTAAGGGCAGAATTGATGGAGTGGGGAATTCGGATGCCAGGACAGCTCCTGTGTGTCTGACGGGAGTGGGGATGCCCCTGGGAAGTAAATTCCCTCATGTGCTCACCGCCCCGAGCTGCTTGGGGGTCCCTGGGGACGTGGGTGAATGCTGTGGAGACAGCCCCAACTCCCTCAGAGTTGCCCCTGTGGAAACACCTCTCTGCCTTTTTATTTTTCCTCCCCTATTTTGGGGTTGAATGTTCAGCAGCGGACGTGCCCAGCGCAGGCACGAGCTGAGGGGCTGCAGCCCTGCTGGTGCTTTCTTTTGCCTTTGCTGCGATGCCGACTCCTTTTCTTGCCGTTTCTCTCTGCAGCTGAAGAAGTTGCTCCTCTCTCCATCGCACGTGCCTCCGAGCTGTGAGACTCAGCGGGACGGCAGCGCCCGGCGCCCGGGGACCCCTAAGTCCCGACCTGCGCGGCCCTGCACAAAGGTACTTCCTCGGTGGGCAGATCTCGAGCCCGTCCAGCACCCACCTCTCGGGAGCCATCCTAAAGGAGGTCACCACAGAATGGTGTCGGGGAGTGTGGGCAGCCTCTGAGCCAGGCCAGGGGCTGGGGACAGGTGGGGACCGTCACTGCTGGCAGAGCGTTCCCACCCCTGTCTGCACGGGGGCTGCAGACTGAGCTCAGCAAAACCTTCAGGCTTTGTGCTGGGTTGAAAAAATCTCGGTCTCATTTGGACTCGGTGGGATCAGGCCTCTCCCAGCTTCCTTGAGCGCTGGTTTGTGAAAGCCCCGTGTGCTCTGTGGCTGCCCCCCTTGCCCCGCTCCCCGCTGACTCACAGCCCAAGCCAGGAGCCATCAGCTGGGGAGAGCTGCATGCCGCGCTGCAGAGCCGACCCCGTCACTTAAGCCAATCTCCTGAAACCCAGCAGAAGTTGCCATCAAAGATTTTTCTACTTGGCTAATGGTAATTGTGTGGTGCATTAGGCCCAGCAAATTAGATTGCCTGGGAAGAGCAGCAAATCCCTCCCAGGGAGAAGCATCATTGTGTGCTGGCTGCTGGAGGGGCAGCGCTCGGGGTGGTGCTGCCGGCCCCGTGTGCCCAGTGGAAACGCCCTGGGGCGTGGGGCTGACCCCCAGGCAGGTCAGGGTGCTGGTGGGCTGGAACCCCGGGTGTTCAGGGATGTGGGATGGCTGTGTCAGCCCAGGGGGCTTCTCTCCCCATGCCTGGTTCTTGTGTCAGGTTGTGGCTGGAGGGCTTGGGGCTGACTTTCTCCTCTCTCCTCTTCAAAGGTGGAGGGTCCCCGGGACAGGAGGGCGAGCGTCCCGCAGGCACAGAGCCGCAGCTGCACCGAGCTGCACCGGCACCTCACCTCCACTGCCCCCTGCCCCCAGACCAAAGCCCCCCGGGCACCTGAGGAGTGCCCCAGCGGCCACCACCACCCATCCCCGGGCAACTGTGCCCATCACGAGGATGACAGTGACTCCAGCGAGGACTCGCTGAGCTCTGGCGGCTCGGCGGCCCCCCCGTCCTCGGCGGAGGATGGCTCCGGCAGCCAGTTCTCCTGCGAGGGGGAGATGCACTCGGTGGTGGAGCTCATCCGCTACATGCACACCTACTGCCTGCCGCCACGGAAGCTGCCCACCCACGATGCCACTGACACCAAGCCCCAGCCCTGCAGCAGCCCCTTCAAGAAAGCCAAACCAGACTGTCCCACGCAGCCGGTCCCCCCTGGCAGCGCCCAGAGCCGGCCGGGCTGCGCCTGGCAGGCAGCTGGGGGTTGCAAGAAGCCCGGAGCATCCTTCTCTATCCTGAAGGAGCTGCTGGCACGGGACCTGCTGTGTGACGTGAGCAAGCCATACCGCCTGAGCAAGCCTGTGTATGCCACCCTGGCCCGGCCACCCGGCTCCCACTCCCCTGTGCCACCAGCCCAGGATGGGGAGGATGCTGGTGGGACCTGCACATCCAGAGCCAAAATGGCACCAGAGAGGGGTGAGCCGCGGCAGAGCCCTGGGGCCGAGGCAGAGGCACCGCGGGAGCCGGGTAGCCTTGAGGACGATGCCGGGAAGCGTGCGGGCACCCCAGGCGCAGCGGCGGGGAAGGTGGCCCGCAAGCAGGAGAGCACCGTTTACGCTGTCCGTCGGTCCAAGAGACTAAACCCCGAGCTCGGCCACTGGCTCTCCTTCCTTGACGAGCCGCCCCCTGAGCCCTCCATGCCCCGGGAGGCAGGGGACAGCCACGGCACCCCGGACACCCTGGGCTCCAGAGAGCCCCCACTGTGCCCAGCGCTGGAGGGCTTCTCTGCCGAAGAGCCTGCGGCCGAAGTGGAGGTGGGGGATACAGCACCACTGGCAGAGCCCCAGCCCCTCTCCCTGGGCTCCCCGGCGGATGGTGAAGTGGGCAACGGGGCTGAGAGCCAGCGCTGCGCCCTCCTGGAGCAAGCAGGTGAGGGGGGCCGGGGGGGTTCTCTCTCTGCTCGCCCCTTCCCGGTGCGCCCGCGCTGCCTGTGGCACTGCCGGTGCTGTCCCTGCCGCGGGCAAGCGCTGCTGGCCGGGCGCCTGGCACTCCGCTGGCAGTGAAGCTGTGAGCAGCCCCAGGCACAGCCAAGCCCTGACCCCTGTGCCAGCTGGCTGTGGGGTCCCATGCATGGGGAGTTGGGAGACTGTTCTGATTTTGGGGTGCTGTTTTAATCCATGGGGGGGGGCGCTTCTGCCTCAGTTTCCCCATCCTCATAACAAGATGAAGGAGTCGACGGTAGCGCTAACCCAGGAGGGACTGGGCTACCCCATCCCTCTGGGTCCTTCTTCCCCTCAGGCTTGCCCTGTGCCTGGGCACTGAGGTGCAGCTGCACTGGTGCCCCAAAATTGCATCTATCTGCAAGCGCTTTGTGAGCACGAATGGCTCGGTCTTGGCAGTGTTAGCCCTCCTGCCGATGCTGCTGCCTTGCAGGCGGGCAAAGCCCACGGTCCCCAGCCCCCTGCCAGGCCAGGGCGGGCAGAGGGGCCCTGGGTCCCCCCACAAGCACCACAGGTGCTGGAGGGAGCACAGCTCCGCTGGTAACCCTGCTTCTCTCCCTGCCTTTCAGAAACACCCAGGTGTCTCACGCTGTCCTTGGCACAAACGTAAGTGCGCATGGGGCTAAATAAACTGTGCTGGGGCTGGAAAGCCGCCTCGGTTTGTCTGGCTGGGCATGCATCTGCAGTGAGCAAGCGAAGATGCTTTTGCAGAGCAGACTGAGCCATGCAGCTGGGCGTGGGGCTGTGGGGAGCTGTGGCCATCACTCGGGTGCAAGGAGCTCCGAGAGCCCCAGGCCGAGGGCAGGGCATTTCTGCGTGCCAGGGGCAATGTGCTCCGGAGCTCTGGCTGGGGTGGGGAGGGCATGCTGCTCGCCCCGCTGCCCCTGCACCCCTCCACAGGGTCACTCTGTCAGGCACTAGCTGTGGTGGGAGTGCTCACTTGTAGGCAGCGTTTTCTCAGCTTTTGTTTGAGTGTTGGGGTCTGTGGTTCACATAGATAACTTCTCTCTCCTTATTTTCTGCTCTTCTCCAGTGATTCAACCTTTGGGAAGAGAAACTTCGAGCCGATGCTGACCGTGGAGCTGTGTGGGACAGCAGGTAAGACCGGGTTTTAATTTTTTAATTTTGCAAAAATTCTTCCTGGGAGAGGGCAAATTTACCCTAAATTCAGCCTGGAATTGCTAGTTCCAGCCAAGCCCTGCCGAGCAGGCACACTCATCCCCCAGCCCAGGAGCCCTGCTTTGCACCACAAATGCAGGGGACTTCCCATGCGCTGCCTCGCCTCCGCATCCGAGCGCTGCAAGCAGCTCGCAGGCTGCATCCTTTAGAGATGCCAGTGCTGGGGGGACACATTTGGGATGGGGGTGTGTGCAGAATGGATTACAGTCTCCATTCTCTCCACGGTGGGGGGCAGTTCAGAGGACCCCTGCATGAGCCAGGAGGGAAGGGAGAGTCCTCTGGTCCCTTCTGGGCTTGTGCATCCTTTTTCCCCACGTGCCGCTTGATGGATGAGGCTGCAGGGGCCGAGCAGCCTCCTCCCTTGCAAAGCCTGGTGCAGCCCAGGCGCTGGGGTGGGACAGGGCAGGACGGGGGCAGAGCTGATTCCTGCCCTTTGTTCGGGGGGGGTTCAGGTCTCACGCCGCCCACCACTCCGCCGTATAAGCCTGCCGAGGAGGACCTGTACAAACCAGACATCCCCCAGGAGCCAGGGAAGGAGGATGGGACAGCTCCCAGCCCCGGGGGCGCAGGGGATGCAGCAGCCTCCCAGAAAGCCCCCAGGAAGCACCCGGAGAGGACAGAGCTCTTCGCCCACCTGAGCCGAGCGGCCGGGCGCCCCGCGCTCCCCGAGCAGCAGGGCGTGCTCAAGCGGCCCTTCTCCCGCTCCTTCGGGGACCACGACTACTGCCAGGTGCTGAAACCCGAGGCTGCCCTCCAGAGGAAGGTGCTCAAGTCCTGGGAGCCCCTGGGCCAGGTGGAGACCGAGCACAAGAGGAGGGTCCCGGCTGCCCACTACCAGGGGCTGGACCTCGGCGGCAAGGAGGCGGGCGGTGAGATGCTGTGGAAGGATGGCGTCAAGCAGCTGAGAGACCAGGAGATCAGAGCCAGCTTAACAAAGCACTTTGGCTTTCTGGACAGTGCTCTTGATGACGAGGACATGGTCTTCTGCAAGACCCCTGAGTACGACACCGTCTTTGAAGACAGCTGCAGCGAGAGCAGCTCCCCTGTGGAGGAGGAGGAAGAGGAGGAAGAGGAGGAGGAGGAGCATGGTGACACCAAGCTGTGCCTGCGGAGAAACCCCCTTTCCAGGACCAGTTTGCATTTCTGTTCCCGGAGCAGGTCCAGCTCAGGGTCTTCGTGCTGCCGGTCCCGATCGCCCGCAAGCAGACGCACCTTCAGGTAAAGGGGGGGTGTGGGGAGGGCACCTGGCACCGTTCTCTACCTCCCGTGTTTTTGCCCCAGTGCATGGCAGCCCTGGCTCTCTCTGTTCTGCTGGCCCAAGTAGTAAAGATGCTAAGTAATAAAAGAAAAACTACTGAAATAATTGGTACGACACCAGCAGCTGCTTCAAACATCAGCCATGACCAGAGAAAGCAGCACTGGGGAGAAGCAGCCGGGGGGTCCCATAATGCTGGGAGCGATGGGGCATGGGCAGGGCCCGGAGCCGTGCCTGGGAAGGGGCTGGGCACCCCCTCCGGCATCTGTCAGAAAGGACTTTCCAGTGTCCTTTCCAGTGTTTCCACCCCCCCATCTCACCTTGGCTGCCAGTGCTCCGGAGCGCCCACCCGCTTCCTGCAGATGCCATGTGCCCCGGCTTCTCATTGCTGTTTGAAGCTTTCCCTGCCAGATCCCCCCACCCTCCCGGGCTGACCCCCTCTCTCTCACTTCCCAGGTGTGAGAACGGCGAGCAATGTCAGGGTGGGAGCGGGCACCGGGGCCAGATGGAGAAGAGACGGGAAAAGGCCATGGTAAGTGAGCGGGGACCCTGCGCTGGGACAAAGCAATCCCCGGCCCTCAGTTCATCTCCTGCTCCAGAAAAGCAGTGGTGGAGCCCATTAGCCCTGGCTTCAGCATCCCTTGGTGCGAGGACATGGGGATGGAGGGGGGGAAAGAGAAACCCAGCATGAAGCCGAAGACACCAGCAACTGGCAATACATGAAGCACTTGGCCCAGAAATGCCCAGAGCATCCTATGGTGGTGCTTCAACGCAGTTGGCATTGGCAATTAGCGGCGTGAGCTACTGAAGCTACTCAGCCCTTACAGATGTGGTCCTGCTGCCCAGGCAGCCTTGTGCACTGGGAACCCTGTCCTGGGCATGCAGGGAAGTAACTTGCTCCTCTGTACTGTTGTGTGCACACACACACACATGCTCACACATGCCCCTCTGGCCTTTTTTTCCTGCAACATAATTGAATTTTGCCCCTAGCAATTCCTGGGAATATTTCCTGGCATCTTCACCAGGAGAAGCTGAAAACCCTGCAGGAATGCAGGAGCAATTTAAAAGAGAGGAAGGGGGTGGCAGCTGCCTCAGCCTCAAATGGCCATCCCCTGCAGCAGTGGTGCCCTGGGGGTGACACCCATGAGCTAGCTGTAGTGGAGACAGCCAGACCCTGGGGATGTCAGGCTGTGCCCATGGCAGTACTGTCCCACTGGAGCCTGATTCCTGGCGCTGGCTTGCTGGGGCTCCTCGACAGCCCCACATTTCCAGCACCCATTGGCAGTACAGAGGCACGGGAGCCCGGGGCCTGAAACTTTTCGCTTGCTTTGCCAGGGGGAAGGCAGGGTGGTGTATATCAGAAACCTCTCCAGCAGCATGAGCTCCAGTGAACTGAAGAAACGTTTCGAAGTGTTTGGTGAAATCGTGGAGTGCCAGGTCCTGTCCAGGACTAACAGGTGAGTGGGGAGCGGGCTGCAGTCCGGTGCTCCGGCGGGTACAGACAACTCCTTTCTCCAGAGAGCATCAGCCCTGCATCCAGCTGTGCGTGTGCGAGTGATGCAGTTGTGCTGGTGGGGTGAAGCACCCTGCGCCACGCCAGCCCCCTCGGTCAGCCGAGCCCACGGTCTCGGCACTTTGGACAAGGAGATGCAGTGTGTCCTCAGGTTCAAGGGCCTGGGGAGAGCTGGTGGGATGGAAGGACGGCGGGATGGAGGGACAGCGGGATGGCGGGATGGAGGGACAGGGGCACAGTGCTGAGCAGAGCCGCGTCAGAGGGGCTGTGGGGCCCATCGCATCTTGAATTCTTTCTCTGGTTACTCAGGGGGGATAAATACGGCTTCATCACCTACCGGTATTCAGAGCATGCCGCCTTATCTCTGAAGAACGGCACCTCGCTAAGGAAGAGGAATGAACCTTCGTTCCAGCTCAGCTCTGGTGGCCTCGGGCACTTCTTCTGGACCAGATATGCTGACTTGGGTAAGAAAGCAGGAGCTGCTTTTTCCAAAGCATCTCGTTTATCAGCAGAGAGCTGTAACAGCATGTTGCACTGCTGAACCCTAGTCATGCAAAGATCCTAAACCTCTTTAGAGCCTGCAGGAAAAGCCCACTGGCTCTCCTGTGGCTCAGGTAGCTGCTCTTAGCTCAGTCAGATGGTTTGTGAAACTGGGGGGAGAAAAGAAAAGCCACTGGCATGAGGACCTGGAGTGTGTTGGCTGCAAAATGTAGCTTCACACCTCAGGGCTGCTGGGTCTCAGCTGACCACAGCCTATCCTGCATTTCTACACAGCACTGGGCTCTTTCCAGCAGAGAAGTCCCTTCCCAGTTGTTAGAGAAAGCAGTCAGCAACATCTCATTAGCCCAAGAGGTGATCTGGGTGGTTTGCCACTCAGGAGGACAGATTCACCACACCGCACATGCACTTTTGAGCTAAAAGGATGGCACTGAAACGTGCTGCAGTTGCATTAACTCTTTCTGTGCTGTATGGGCTTCTGCAAGACCTCTGCCTCCCTCGGCGGCCGTGTTAGCCAGGGTCTTGCTGGACCCCGTCCTTCCACGGGTGGTAGGGCTGCAGCCTGACCTGAGGGGCAAGCGTGAAACCTGTGCTAGTCCTGCAAGAGAAACATGATACCACCCTCGTTGTTGTGATCCTCAGGTGTTTCACAAACACCATGCATTTAGTTCTGTACCCTCTGCAGGGGGTGAAGAGGTTCTAGGATCCCACTTCATGCATGAGAGACTGAGGCCCAGAAAATAAAGCCCTAAGTCTTGACTTATCTCTAGACGTCCAGTCTGACACAAGTACTGCCCGATCTTTTAGCATCTTATAATATCTCATCTGCTCGGAGCAGCAATCCCTCTGACTTTGGGCGCAAATGCCCATTGTTCACCTGAATAAACTCCAGGACCTCTCATTTTGGGCACAGAGAAGGTAGGAAACAGATAGCACCCCGTGATGAAGATGTTGGCATGTGGCTGTGCAGTGCTGTGGGGAGGGGAACCAGAGCTGCGCTCCCTGCATAAGAGAACCCCCCTCGGTCCTCCTCACCTGCAGATTGCTGCAAGGCCAGCACTCAGCCCCTTATTGCACAGTCTGGCACGTTCCTAAAATCCTGCTCGCCCTGGTACAGGATGAGATGGGGAGCCCACAGGCAGAGGTGAAATGCAGCTGTGCCATTCGCGGCTCATTCAAAAATATACACCTGAAAGAGTTCAGCAGCCTTATTTCTGGCATTTGCTGAATTTCCCACATTTTGCAGAGGCACTGTTTGGTCAGCTCTGACGGAGGGCTGGGGAGCGCTGCAGGCAGGCAGCCCCCTCCCCGTGACCGGCACAGCTCCCGTGGGGACAGCCCTGTGCCAGCGCCTCAGAATTCACCTGCATCTGGCACATTTTTGCACACCTGGAAACGGGTGTCTCTGGTGCGTGGCCTGCCGGGCTGGGCACTGCTACAGCCCCTCTGCCCAACAGCCCCTTTTCAGTGGGGGAGAGGCAGCACCATCCCCGCTGCCTTTTGCCATCACCACCTCATCCGGGCTGGCTTCGCAGTGCCGGGATGCAGCACACCGGTAGCAGGGGAGTGAGCAGTGCCCTGCCGTGCCTCAGTTTCCCCCCCTGCCAGGCAGCAAGCATGCTCCTGCCCCACACCCTGACCCGGCTGCCTTGTGTCCCTGCCCTCCCCAGATTGCAACGCGGAGGAGTCCTCCCCAGCTCCAGTGAAAAGCAAGTACGAGACCATGGATTTCGACAGCTTGCTGCAGGAGGCCCAGCTAAGCCTGCATCGGTAACAGCCTTAACCTTGGAGGAATACCTCAATACCTCAGTCAAGGCACTTCCAATATGTTTACGTTTTCAAAGAAATTATTCAGTCTATGGAAAGCGAGAGAGAGCGAGAGAGAGCGAGAGCACGCACGCGCGAGAGAGAGACTGCTGTCCCTTCCGATCGATGTTTACATTGAACAAAGCTGCTTCTGTCTGTGAGTCCCCATGGTGTTGATGTCTCACTGCCACACGTTAGTCCCCCTGCTTCTGACTGGTTGTTTTAGGGTGAGCCTAGGAGCCCTCCGGCCCCTCTCCCCCCTCCCAGACCCCCTCCGTGCTCCCGCCGCGGAGTTGCAGCTGTGTTCACCATAACATTTTTTTGTCCGTAGTGTGTGATGATGAAATTGTTAATTGTGAATAGAATCAGGATTATAAACTAATTTTTAATAGAAGAAGAAGAGAAAAAAAAAAAGTATATACTTAAAAAATGTATTTATGGCTCAGATGTACTGTAATTCAGATTTATTGTACCGCTTCCTTGATTTTTAACTATGCACTGTAATGAGGCACTTGCCACTCAGCAAATGGGGGGTCAGAGCAGAGTCACGGAGCCAGCGTTCACCCGCCAGCTGCAGAGGCACCCACCTCCCCCGCCGGCAAACCAGGGTGCTCGGCGGCCGCGTCAGGGTCGCCCGCTTTGCTATCAAAGCCATTCTTCTTGCTCGCATGGCCCAAGCCCCCCAGCCCCCGGCCCGGCTGGTCACAGCACCCGGATGCTGAGCTCGGTCCTGGTGCGTGCTGGAGCCGGCGGGCAGTGGGACACGGCAGCCCCGTGCCATCGTCACCATGGGGCCAGGCAGCTATGCAGGCGTGAAGGAGAGGGGTGGTAGAAGGGGGCACTACCTGGGGGGCTGCAGGACCGGTGCCTGCCAGCCAGCGCTGCTCCAGCCCTCTGCTGCCTTTGGAGCCAGGAGAGAGGGGCTGGGGGGCCAGAGCTGGCTGGGTTTGACCCGGTGGGTCCTGCCGGCACAGCCTGGGGAACGGGCTCCTCCGGGTCCATGCAAGAGAGCTGGCTTCTCTCCGGCTCCTCGGGCAGCTGGGAGACTGGCCGGGCCGAGCGGCTTGCTCCCCACTCGCTTCCACCCCCTGCAAAGCAAACGGAGTGAGAAGACCCGTTTGTGATCCCCACCTGGCCGCCAGCCCAAAATGTAGAGGGGCGGGGAGGTGGGAGGGGGCACGGCAGCGTGCCAAATGCCTGTCCCACCCAACACCTTGCCCACTCTCTGCCCCGGTACCTGATAAGCCATACACTTCCCCAGCACCCAGTTGGCACCCAGGATCTGTCCCCCATGCCCACCAGCACCCCACGGCACGCTTGCCTGCTCTGCCTCTGGCCAGGGGCCCTCAGGGCTGCCCGGCAGCACTGGACTTAAGGCATGCTCAAGCAGCAACCCCCCTGAAATTTGCTTGCAAACTTGCCCTCCACCTCCAAGTGAGGTGGGAGAGAGAAAGAGCCCACCATCGGCTGGAGCAAACCCCACCATGAGCCGGCCAGAGGCACTGTTTTACTGAGGGAGCAGGAATCTTGCTGCTTCTCAAGCCATCACCCTTGTCTCCACTTATTTTTCAGACCCAGAGACCACTAGGGATTCAGCCATCCTATGTAGATAGAATATTATAGCCTTAATTCTGCCAATAGATAGATTAGAGTCTCCTGGGATCTCCCCTCAACATGACTTAGGGGTTTTATTCTCATTTCCCCGGCGTGGGTACTATTTTGTCTTGCAGGGAGTATGACCGAAGCCTCTGAAACTGCATGAGATGCGATGCCGAGAGCCTGAGCCCTGCCACGGTGGCCCTTGGCTCCAGGGCCGTGTGTGCAGCCGGTCTCTGCTGGCAGCGCCGATACCAGCACGGTTACCTGGCTATTCCTCCCTGCTTTCGGGGCAGCTGTGGCTCTGACGACAACCAGCACAAGGGCCCACAGGCCACTGTGGGGTTTGAACTGCGGGTCCCCAATCTGCCGCTGGTGACGGTCACTGTCAGGGAACAGTCCTTGTGCCATTTCAGTCTCAGCAGAAAGGTTCAGCATCTCTCCTGCCACAAGCTCCCCCTGCTTGTCATCCCACCTTAGCAAACACGAGTAGCTCTGGCCGAGACTGAGCATCTGCTATTGGCAATTGCCTCATTGTAGCTTTGCCTTTTTCTGTCCTAGTATTTCCTCACAATGATGATGTTTACATGTGATTGCTATAGAGCTTATGTAGAATGTATATAGCGACACATTTAGGGTGGGTAGTACTGTCCTGTGCTGTGCTGATGTTTTTCAGAAAATGATCAATCCAAAAAACAAACAAACAAAAAAAAAGCAAAGTAAGTGGAATTCTTCCATCTCCCACTCAGCCGAGGGCACCGAGCCCCCGCGGCCGGGCCCTGCTGAGGATGCATCAAGCGTGGTGGAGGGGAAGGGTTAGTGCAGAGCTGGAGGGGGGCTCCAGAGCTGGGGGGGAGCCCTCTCCTGGGGGATCACTCAGTCGCTTCCCAAGCATTGGTTTTGGTGTACCCAGATAAAAAATTTCGCATTGTTTTCCTGCAGCTGGGTGCCCCGGGTTGGCCCGCAGCCCCTGCCCGTGCCCTTGCATCGAGGCTGGTGCTCGGGAAGGGGAGGGCTCGTCCTGCACAGAGCTGATCAGTACTGCACCCGTAGGGTAGGAGGAGATGCAATAAGTGGTCTTCGTGGTGCCTGAAGCCTATAAGTGGGGTTGGGGTGTTTTGGGGGGGGGGAGGGTTGGGGTTTTTTCTTTTTCCTTTTTTTTTCTTTTTTTTCTGTTAAATTGGGATGGTTCATTTTCCCTCGTTCCCCAAGAAATTTCTCCAAGACTGTCGCACTATGTGCCCAGGTGTGCCAGGAGCAGAGAGGCACAACTGTGCTGCCTGTGCCTGCCAGCCCATCACTGCAGCAGGGAAGAGCAGGGGCCATGTCCCGCCTGCCCTGGGGGCACATGCTGCCCACCCCAGGGGCTTCCCCCGACTTTTAGGATTGAGTGAGAGTGAAGGGTGGTTCAGCTCAAGAAGCACACTTCTGCTGGGTTTAGAAACCCTCACACAGGGTTTTGTGGTGAAATATAAATTTCTACTTTTTTTTAATTTCTTTTTTTTTTTTTTAATATAAAGGTGTCTTTAGCTCACAGTGCTCGAGTCTGCAAAGGAGCAGGAAGGAGGGCTCAGGCACAAGGGGCAGGTGAGAGCTCACTCCCTTAGCAGCCTGTCACTATTCGGGATGCTAAAGGGGAAGTGGGGCAGGAGGGAAGCAGTGCCCGGGCACTCAGCGCTTTGCAGGAGATGCTGGGGAGCGGGTACCACCCCCCTACCTCCACTCACAACCCCCCTCCAAATTAGCTTTATGTCCTGCCCAGCCTGTGGCATCGCAGTGGGTGCAGCTCAGAGCTGGGCACCCCGAAAAGGGAACCCTTGCACCCCAGCCCCCGCGGCAGCCCCAGGAAGCTGCCCCCCGCCACCTGCAAGTGTCGGGGGTGTCGGGGAGGAGCAGAAACCGGGAGCAAAAGGGTATATTATGGTAGGCAATAAGGAGGAGATTTATTTTTTTAAAAATACATAACTATAGAATGTCCCCCAGTAGTTTTCTGCAGGTACTGTGGGGAAATGCTGAATGTGAAGAATTTAGTGATAAAATGCCCCTTTGCTTTTTTTGCACAGATTTGCCCCAGAAAAGCTTGTTGTTCAGGGTGGGGTACTGGGTTTCTGACTGGAATCCAGCGGATCCCTGGGGCCCCACAGGAAGGAGCAAATGTTTCTGAGTGTCTGGGCTGAATGCAGAGGACAATCCCAGGTTTTAGTTTCAATGCTGCCCCAAAGAAAATGTTTATCCCGATTTCTACTCAGTGGAGCTGGCTGGGCTGCACTTCTTTAACGGAGCAGCAGCTCAGTCACCACATTACTGTCTTGAGTGTCTGATTTCAGCACTGGTCCATGTAAAGGAGTGTTGCAATTGTAGACTAGCACTTCTTTTTTTTTTTTTTTTTTTTTTTTTTCTTCTTTTTTTTTTTTTTGGAGGTATGCAAAATACTGAGATACATCACTGTTTGTAGCTGAGCCCTGACACCCTTTCTGTTCCAAGTGTCGTAGTCCATCCCTGACAATCTGAAGCAATATAGAGCCAAATGCAGCCTTCGGGCTTCGTTCCTCCTCCCTCGCCCACCCTGGGGTCAGGGGCAGCAGCGGCAGCCTGGCCGCAGTGCCCACGGCCACGGCGCTGAGCTGAGAGCCATGCTGAGGTAAATACTGAGTTGGGGAGGGAGTGTGTGTATGCATGTGAGAAAGAGAGGGAAAGATTAAATTGATGCATTTCTTGAGAAAGGTGTAAGAATTTCACCTAAAAAGGGGCACATCTGCTTTGTTATTTATATAAAAAAAAAAAAATCTAATTCTCTCTTTTTCTTCTTTTTTTTTTTAAAGTAAAAGGACACTGCTAATAATTATTAGGGGCCAATTCTGCCTCTCATCCTCATGCTGAGTAAGTACTACTTAACTCTGCAATTCTCTACTTGCAGAGTAAGTACTGTAGCAGAATTGATCCCTGTGTAATTAAGAACCAAGTTTTTAGTCTGTTTTTTTTTAATTGGTAGTGGTTTTTTATATTTCACTTAATTTTTTTCCCCAGTTCCGTTCCGTTGTGTCCTTATTTATGTAATATACTTTAACCTTAAAAGATGGCATGGATTCTTATGCCTTTCCTTTATTATTATTGTTATTATTTTTAAAAAAGAGATTTATTTCTAGTGTGATTTAACTGTCTACCTTCTAAAACGAGAGAACGTTTTCTTGTATTTTTACATTGTCAGATTCTATAGTTTCATAGATAATTTAACCAAATCGCTCAATGTATTATCTATATCTATCCGGTGGGTATAAAAGTTCTATTTTAAATTGTGTAAATACTTCAGAACTGGCTTCTTTTTCCAGACTCCCCTACCGCGGAGTTACTTGTTTACATCAAAAAGACTGTAGACTCTCTACGCTCATGTACTGTAAATAGTGAAGTGATCTGCCTATAACTAAACGATAACATATATACTATAAAGTGGAAAGAAAAAAAAGGACCCAGTCTGTGCCGCTAATACTTTAGTTTATTAGTGCAAGCCTGCTTTGGGAGGAGGAGTTTTGCTTTGCAGAACGTGCTCTGCTGCGCCGGCCTGGCTGGCAGCGGGATGGTGGGGGCACGGCTGGGGCTGGGGGGGTAGCAGAGCCCCCCAGCTCACTCACACCAACGCTGCACCACTACCAGGGACACGGCTGCCGTAGGGGAATATCCCCATATATTGCTATTAAGTGTGGCTTCTTGTGCTGGAAAAGCCTGGGCTTCGTCCTCTGCACTTGAGGAGAGGTGGTGCTGCTGCAAGACCCATCGCAGAAGAAACCCCTCCCGGACCATCGGTGTTAGAAATGAAGTGGGGCAGGCACCTCAAATGTGCTTGAGTGTGAGTAAGAGAGCAAAGGGCTGGATTGCAAGATAAAGTGTGGCAAAGACTCCTGACTGATGCAGCAAACCGACGGCCCCGGCCAGTCCCCCCGGTACCAGGAGAGCCGTCCCATGGGAGCCAGCCTGCTCTCCCAGAGACACGGCCCAGGGGGCCGAACTGCTGTTCCCCAACACAGGGTGTCCTGGCGTCCTGGTCATCGGGGGAGCCCAGGCTGCGGAAGGGATGGGATGGAACGCCCGGGCAGTCGGCGGCAGCACGGGGGCAGCTCCCACACGGCACACGGGAGCCCAGCGCCAGCCATCACCCCTGCGAGGGCTCGCCAGGTTGGAGGCGTTGCGCTGAATTTACCCAGAGCACGGCACGGTGATGCTGCTGGGCGGGAGGATTTCAGTGGCCTGAAAGGAGGAAGTCTGCAAGGTGCTGAGCAATCCCGGCTATTTTTTTTCCAGCCGATTGGCACCGATTTAAGCAGCTGCCCTCGACCTCGGTGCAGCACAGCTGGTGGGAGCCCAGCGCAGGTCCCCCCACCCAGCCACAGAGCCAGAACCAGCCTCCCACCCCCAACCCAGCCCCTCGTCCCTGCAACTGCTGCACCCTGAGCAGAATGCTGACGGGAAGCCCGTTTCCCTGCTGCTTTCCACCAAGAAACAGGCTTCAGGGCCACCAAGCAGGAATATTTTTCTAAGACACATCAGGGCACTGTGACGCTGCCAGTGCCAGGACAGATTACAACATGAAATGGCAAGATGGAAATGTAGGGATGCAGCTGGGGCAGCTGGTGTCAGGGTGCCCGGGGTGGGTGCAGGCAGGAGCAGAGGCACGGGAGCGGGGTCCCCGGCTGTCGAGGGGGACTCCTGGGTGGAGTGGGGACACACGAAGGAAGGGTCTGCAGGGAGGGACAGACCCGCAGCTGAGGCTTGTCCGCCCAGCCTGACCTGCGCTGCCCGGCGCTGCGTTCCCAGGCAGCTTCCTGGAAAATGATGACTGGGATTGTTCCTCGAGTGTTACCCTGCAAGCAGACCTAGAGACTGAAGGGAGCTGTTGGCGAATCGTGACATCACTTCAGCAGCTCCGTTAGTCCCAGCAATTACTTCCAGCCATTTGGGGAAAAGCCCAATGCGACAGTTTTCACTTGGTGTTATAACTTTGTGATAAAACGGCTGTTTTTCACGCAGACGGGCGTTGCTTTTGGAATAGTTTACGCAGCTGCTCTCCAGTTCCCAAGGGAAAGGAGGCTGTGTCATCCTCTGTGCTAGGCACACCACGTCTTGTGGAAGAGGAAAATAAGTCAATAATGGGCTTTTGTGAATAGGGACAGCTTTTGTTGCTGACCTTGGCTGGCTAGCACCTGGCAGGCAGTGTGGGCAATGTGGCACTGCCCGAATCTGCCTGGCTGAGCTGGGCTGGCTGAGATCACAGCTGCCACAGGCTCCACTGGCTCGCTGGGACCCCACCACCCCACGGGCAAGGGCCCACAGAAAAGTCCATGGGTGGGCAGGGGAGGCAGGGGCACAGCAGGGCGATGCCTGGAAACACCCCACCAGGCCCGTGCTCCTGACCGGTTTGAAATGCCTGTTGCCTGGGATTTATTTCACTGCCTGCTGAGCTGCCCTGGGCTGCCCGTTGGAGTCTCAGCTCCCACCCGTGCCCTGGGCAGTGGCACCTGACACCAAATCCTGCCCTGGGCTCTGCTAGGTGCAGCAGCTCCCTGCTCCCCGACACGGACCTCAGCCCCTGGGCCATGCAAGGCCTGTCCAGGGGCCTCTCTGGAGGCCATACTTGGAGTAATGTATGCATTTGCCCACTCTCAGCATTTATCAGTCCCAGCTTGTTGTCCAGGTGTCTGCAGGGAGGAACAGGGACAGGTTTGGTTTCTTTGCTTGCTGCCAGCTTGGGGTCCCCCCCAGGCCCGGCTGTACTGCCCTCCCTGCCCGCATGCCCCCGGGGGATTCCTCCCAGCTTTCCTTCCCTCCCTCCTGAGCTCTGCATCTCACTCCATAAGGCACCTGCAGCTCCTGCCTCCCGGGCTTGCAGAGTGTCTTTAAAGGCCAGTGGAGAGCTTTCTCCAGGTGCTGCTGGTTTTGGGTCTTGCAATCTCTGTTCCCTCCCTCTCTCCCCCTTCAGCCTTTGGCTGGATGCATTACAATTTTTCATAGGCCACCTCTGCCTCCAAATACCTTTTCAAACTTAGACTTGGAGCCCTCATGTTTCTCAGCAGCCTCCTGCAGGTAAGAAGCCACCATCCTCTCCCCACTGGCTTTGCCAGCACTAACCCCACTCCCCCAAAATCCCACCACCCTGCAGACTCCGAGGGAGCATTTCCAGCTCTGCATATCTGCAGGCTCTTGCTGCCTGCCATGCACAGTGGGCCACACTCAGCAGTGGCTGAACAGACCCTTTGGTAACAGGGCAACAGCAGCAAATCTGCCCCAGCAGTGGCTGTTGTGGGTGAGGTGCTGGCATAGGGCTCTCGGGAAGCAGCCAGCTCCACACAGCCTTTTCTTTCTCCTTTTTTAAGCGTCCCTGCTTCTCTAGCAGCTTGACATGCACAAGGACCCCTCCTTGCTCCTGCAACTGTGCTTTGCTTGCTATGAGCCAGCGGCTGCCCAGGCAGAGGCTGAGCACCGAAGGAATAGCAGGCGGCTGGAGAGCACCTCCTCATCACCTTAATAACTGTGATGATTTTAGAGGAAAACTGCCCACACTGCGGTAGTGCACATGAGCATACAATGCCCCCAGCTCTCAGTAGCCCCTGAACCACCAAAGGCTGATGACCCATGCGGAACCTGCTAGAGCAGGGCACAAAGAGGGGTTAGATTGCCCTGGAGCCTGGCACATGTTGTCCATAATCTGTATCTGCTCACATTGGCTTTGGGTCACTCGGAGTCTTCACTGCAGTTGGTCTGCAAAAGAGAAGTGTCTGCCTGGAGAAAGGCAAGGAAAGGATTTGGCTCAACACTGCTAAATGGGCAAACTCTTGGGTGAAAGCCCTGGCTTTCAACACCACTGCCGTCTCCAGTCATCACTGCCAGCTACTGAAAGTCAGTTCCAGGCAGCAACTCAGCAGCCCAAAGAAAAAGGACAGCTCCTGCAATCCCCCGGGGACACGGGGCTCTCCCTGGCACACTGGGGCAGCGGAGGGCGGGATGCTGCTCAGAGCATCCTCACTCCGGGGGCTCAGCTCATCTTCCAGTTTACTTCCAGGAAACAGAAGTCCAGGTTTGCCTTTCCGGATTTTTGCAATCAGTCAAAGCCAATCAGCACTGAAATACTGTCAAATTTCAAAAGGATACAGAAAAATAAACACATCTGGCAACTAGCTATTGCTCTCTCCACGGTGCTTCTGCTATAAGCTCTGTCCCTGTTACTGAATTTACTCTCCCACCAGTGCTGCCGGTGGGGGGGACCCACACATCAGTGTAGCTGTGAGGCCAGAAGGAAGAGTTAAGAAGGCTTTTTGGCTATGGCTGTGCAGTTTTGCCATGTGGGCTGCTTCCAAGCACCCCAGGAGATACCAGCAGATTATTTATAGTGGCTGTTACCTGCAGTTTCCAACGTCCACTGGCCATACAAACTCCTGAAGGAAATTAGTTTTTCTTCAATGAAAGGATCAAGAACTTTAATTAATGAAGGGTAAATAAAGATTTTAGGCAAGGCGATCTGCAGGCAGAACACACGGCAGCAAGGCTGCAGTGGGCCCCAGCAGCGTACAGCAGTGGAGCAGCAGCTTGTCCCAGCCTGTGTCTGCAAGCAGGGCACAGTAAGAAGCTCAGAGCGAGCCACAAAGTCCCCACGGGCTCCCGTGGGGAACAAACCCTTCTGCAGCCCTCACAGGCCCCAAGCAGCTCAAGTAGAGGATCTTTCCTATGCAGCACCTGCTTTTGGGGTTGGGACATACACAGCTGGTGCCATGTGCACTAAGGGCAGCATTTGCAAATGGCAAGCAGCAGTTTCATGTGCTTTGGGAGAACAGCAAAGTCAGGTGAGCACTGCATACAGCCTTAGTCACGTTCGACACAACTGTGGAAAAAGGATTAGCAGTAGCGAAGTGTGAAGCCACAAACCCCATGGAGGGGAGAAAAATAACAATAAAGGACATAGTGCTTAGGAATGAGAATAAGAAACATCACTCGGACAGTACAGCCGACAGCTGAAACATTCTCATTCAGTGAGCCAAGGTCATAAGAAAGCATTAGGGAGCAGGTAATAGGCAGCAAGCTGAAAATCAGCTTGTGCTCTGATATGGAGGGAATAATTCTGCCTCCCTCCAGCAGGTGCATCACATCAGAGAGGACTGAGAGGCCAATACCATCAGGAAGAAACTTGTATGATTATTTTTTGTAAAATAACTAAAAGAAGTATTGTTTCTCTGGGCATTTAGCCAAGTAGAGAGTCCTTGCCTGGACAGCATTTCAGGAGTCTCTCTTGGTTTAGGTAATGTGTGTTTAACAAGTCCTCAGGAACCCAGGAGCAACTAGAGCAGTCCAGCAACACCAGCCTTTGCAAACACCACAGGCAGGAAGGTCTGTCACAGGGACCATATTTTGCTAGGATGCTTACTGACAGTGTGCTTTGTGCCAACAGCTTCTCAGAATAACCGGACAGAGAGAACAGAGTAGCTTTTAAAATAGTAAACTGCCTTCATCTTCCTCTCTCCTCTGCTCCTGAAACAAAGGAGCCTTTTAGTCCCTCTTGTTTCTGGGAGATTTAACTTAGTGACTCCAAGGAGGAAAGGAGGGAACAGCTCTGAGCAGGGCCCTCTGACAGCTCCCGAGGAAGGCTGGCCCATGGTACACCCACCCTGGCCAAGGGCAGCCAGGGAAACTTGCTGTATTCTTCCTCCTTTCTTCTCTGCACTCGCATGTTGAGGGCAGGCAGGAACCTGGGCAGTGGTGGCGCGGGGACGAGGGCCCGTGGGCGCAGGGACCGGCTGTAAGGACGGGCGATCACCAGGTGGTATCTCAGGAAATACCTACAGGAGGACTGGGGAGAAGAGGAGATCCGCAGGGTGCAGCCGGTGGCCGGCAGCACGTCCCGGCCGCTGCTCCCCGGAGGATTCGCCCTGCTCCCCACGCCGCGCGGGGGCTCGCCCTGTGCCGGCCGCGGCTGCCGCCAGCGTGGCGGGGGGGGGGGGGGGGGGGGGGGGGGGGGCACGGCCTTCCCTTGCGAGGAGGAGGAGGAGGCAGCAGAGGCACCTCCCCACCGCTGCTTTTTGTTTCTGTTCCCAGCTGTGCCCTCCCTCCGGCTCCCAGCCCGGGGTGGCAGGCCGGGCGCCATGGCCGAGCTGGGCGCTGTGGCCGGGTTGAAAGAGGAGCTGACCTGCCCCATCTGCCTGAACATTTACAGCAACCCCGTGTCGCTGAGCTGCGGTCACAGCTTCTGCCAGGTGTGCGTCCAGGAGGCGCACAGCCGCCGGCAGTGCCCGCAGGGCCCCTTCAGCTGCCCGCTCTGCCAAGCCCAAGCAGACGGCGCCACGGAGCTGCAGCCCAACGTCCAGCTCCGCAGCATCGTGCAGAAGTTCTTGGATGCTCCCGCTCCGCAAGAGGAGGAAGAGCGTGATGTGCAATGCCAAGGGAAGGGGGAAAGTTCTGGCCAGCAAAACAAGGCGATCCTGTGCGATTTCTGCCTCGAGGAGCCCCAGCCAGCTGCAAAGACCTGCCTGAGCTGCGAGGCCTCCCTGTGCCAAGCCCACCTGCGCAAGCACAATGCAAAGAGCCCCCTGAAAGACCACGTCCTGATGGAGCCCTGCAGTGCTCAGTTTTTGGCTGAGAGGAGATGCCCCCTGCACGGCAAGCTGCTGGAGTGCTATTGCGAGACAGACACAGCCTGCGTCTGCATGCTGTGCTGTGTCATGAGCTCCCACAAGGACCACAAGATCACCACTTTGGAGGAGGCTTTTGGCCAAGCGAAGGTAAGAGGCTGCCAGGACGGCAGCCCAGGCACGGATCGCACCAGGGAAACCACGAGGGTCTGTGGCACGAGGAGCTGCCTGCAGCAGGGGGAAGGAACATTCTCCTGAATTTCAGGGTCTGCAGACTCAGGATGGGGCTAAATCTCCATCTTGGGATACTGGGCTTTTATTCCTAGTTTTGTTCCAGATTCCCTCTGGGCTTGCCCCTCGGCATAAAGCAAGATGTTATAAACACTTTCTTCCCACCCTGAGGAGCCAAAGCAGTGGGACTGAGTGCTTGTGGCTGTGTCCTTGGTGTACTTTCAAGCCAGAAGATCAGCCTGAGCTGCATTTATGCAAAGAAAATTAATGAGAGTAACAGAAAGGAAGGTGTTGGCACTGAAAGGAGCTTAATGTGTGGCTCCTGAACATGAAGAGTTTTGTTTTCAAATGGCTTTCCCATGCTTGTAATTGTGGTAGTCGTTCAGGGACAAAATCTTCCAGTAAACCTTTATATACTGATTTGTCCCGAGAGTGTGTAGTGAACAAACTTTTTGCAGGTTTAGCCTAACCCATTTCCATAAAATTGCTGATCTTGTGCATGTAGGTCGGTCCTATCCTGATATCTTCCTCCGGTTATTTTTATAGAGTGTTTTTTCTGAAACTCTGGAAATGGTGAAAACACAGGAAGCTGCACTGAATGAAAGCATAGCAAACCTGCTGAAACAAGAGGAGGAAGTAAAGGTTGGTTGCATGGTCCAATATTTTTTAGTTCCTGAGTGGTTTCTCAGATATTTTCTTGGTTTTGTCTTTGGGGGAGGATGATGGACAACTTTCTTACCACTCTGGGAAGTACATTCTTACTTTCCAAGGGACCTCTGAGCTTGAAAGTTGCTGTTAAGTCTGTGCCTCCTGATTGGTGAATGGTGGTTTGCCTTTTTTTTTTCTTCAACCTTATTCAGTTTGCAGACTCTAAAACATTTACAGAAAAGATACACATCATGTTATAGTGATTGCATTGTTCTTTACAACAAGAAATCCCTTTCAGTTAGCCTGTGGTCCTAAGAAGTCGGTAGAAATGAGGTTAAAAAATTGACCCAACATGTCTGATTTTTGCTCCCAGCATGTAAATCCCTATCTAAAAGCTCTGAAGGAGCAGGGAATTTAACACAAGTTTTCAAATCCTAGTTCATTCTGCTTAGGCAGAATTAGTACTTGTCTTCCTCCACTATTAAAAGTGACAGGGCCAGAAGTCCTGGCACTGGGCAAAGGAAATGTTCCCTTCTAGTCTGAAAACAAAATTGTACCTGTTGGCAGCGTCCTGTCTGGCAGCGCAGCTGCTTTCAGTGAAAGCAGCTTGCTGGAGTCAGTAAGCAGAGAAACTGTTTTTCCTCACCCATCCTTAAAAGGACCAAAGGCAACATATCCATAGAAAAATACCAGTGCAGAATAAGGAAATACATGCACTGGGGAAAGTCTTCAGCAAGCATTGTGCAAGAAGCACTACTTTTTTGTATTTTTCTGGTCAGGTTCCAGATTTGGGGAAGGCCACTTGTGTTGCTTGGCCTTTCTGCTGTTAGTAGGACATCTTGGTTTGTTGTCATAGGGAGAGGCACAAAGTTAGTAGTTACTTCTCTCAACCCAGGAAAGACCAGGCTCTGAGTGAGAGTTCGTGTGGAAAATGTGAGATTCAGTCCCTAACAGCTTTGAAAGTGTTTTCTTAATAGACTAAGGAGCACCTGCAGAAGAATCAGCTGCTGAGCCTCTTCAAAGAGATGCACCTGCAACTTGATAAAAAAAAAGGAGAATTCATGAAAGCTCTCAGTCACAATGAGGATCAACAGCTTTCTCGGATTCAGGCAGAGATAAAAAAACACAAGGAGGGGAAGGATGCAGCCAGCCATGACATAAAGGAGCTGGAGACTCTAGGGGATCAGAAAGACCTACTTCTTTTTGTCAAGGTACCTAACAGCATCTTCCTTCCCAGAGATACTCAGCTCTTGGGCTTGCCTTGGCCTGCGTGATGCTAATTCTGATTTCAAAATGTCTTTTACAGGCTTTTGCAGCTATTCGAACCAGGTAAGCTCTTCCTGAGGTGGTCTGCTACTGCATTGTACGTTGCTTCAGGTGACTAATAGTCCAGCGGTGTGGCTCTGCTAGCCCAGCCTGCACGCGCTGCAGGCTCGCAGCCCCCCGGGCTTACCCGGGCTGCCCCTTGGGCACACTGACTGCACACTCGGAGCCTGGCTTTGTCAGGGACCTGGAGAAACCCCAAAATATTAACAGAGGTCGCATGTGACTCTTCCTATACAAAATGGCTTACTTTTCTGTGCCCTCTGCACCTGTTCTCGAGACCCATTCCGAGGGCAAGTCCTGAATATTTAGGTGCCTGGGTGGGCGTGCAAAGGACAGGGGAGCTTTGATATCCTTAGTCATCCTCCAGTTGGCATTTCCTCCTGCTTGTAAGAAGCAAATGCAGGAGGAGCCGAAACACGCAATGAAGTCACGAGTCTACGAAGTTCCTGGCTTTTCTCCTGAGCTGTTCCCCCAGTGCCTGCCCGGCGTGGTTCCTCCGCCACAGCCCACCGCTGCATGCACGCCAGCTCCCCCAGCCCTGCATTTCGGGTGCAGCGGCTGCCCCTTGGCTGTGATAACGCAGCACATCTCATTTGCTGTCCCAGCATCCCGGGGGCTGCCCCTGCCACCTCATGAGCTCCTGCTGTGGGAAATGGAGGCCTGTAACTGCCAACAAGATGCTAGGGTGCGTCCTGGCAAAAGCTGGGGCTGAGGAGGCTGAGACAAGGTCCTGTGGGAACAGATACTGTCCATGGAGTTAACTTGATCCTAAGAGTGTTGAAGAGATTTGGGGTTCAGGGAGAAAACTGGTCAGAGGGGGAGTCCCTGGTAGAGCTACAGAGGGAGGGGAGGACAGAAGCTGCTTTCTGTATCTCCCATCGAGGCTGGGTTTGGAGTGGAGGATGCAGTTGTTGGCTCAGGGATGGGCTTGGTGATGGTTCTTTGATGACTTGCTGCTCCTCTGATGTCTTTCTGCATGCTTTAGGGAACACAAGCTAGTTCCAAACAAAGACGGTGTAAAACTGCCAGTGACGCCTGTTATTTTGGATGAATTCACAAGAGACGCTACTCTAAGGTTTTTCCAGAAATTCCTCTCAGACATGCAGTGCTTATTTAAAGCACTACCTGGTAAGTGATCATTTCACTATGTGACAAGCAAGATGGAGAAGCTAACAAAACACATTTAGGAAAGGACTGTAATAAGACACCCAGCACACCAAGTACCTCTTGAAGAACTGACTGCTGATATTGTATGTTTTTTTTCCACGTGTGTACCTAAAAGGGTGCTTGTCCTGGGCTTCAGCGCTTTGGGACATGCCTTGAATACACCTTGTTAAAATGGGCTCTGGGTGTGCATGGCCTGTGAGTTTTCTGGGGTGATTAATTGAAGAGAATAGCAACACCTCTTCTGTCTGTAGCACCACTTTGATTCAAAGCACAGGGAAAGTTGCGAGCTCACCGCAGCAGCAGCAGGTGGAGTTTGTCTTATGCTGTACATAATTTACTCTTTCTATGTAAATATTTCTACATTTTTGTAGTGTTTTGTGAGATTAACCTACAGTCCTGGTGCTGTGTGTGGTGGGATGTTTGTCCGTGTGAATACGAAAGATTAGGTTTCCCTTGTTGTTGCTCCCTTGATGGTGCTTGAGCCCTTGCTGGCAGTGAGCCTAGGGTCAAGACTGAGAGAGAGCTGGGGCAGGAAGGCTCCGTCCAGAACACGTGCGACAGTGTGCGGCGCGCACACCGAACTGGCTGCCATCTGTGCAGCCTTGTGTTCACCAGGAAGCACGCTGTGCTCACAGCCACTCCTGAGCTCAGCCTATACCATCCCTGTATGCACAGTCCAGACCTATTCTGGCTAGGAAGCCTCAGATCCAGGTTCTCCTCATTATCTATGCCATCTGAGCAATTTTGGTTGGTTGCCCAAGTCACTGCCCCTGTTTCAGTTTCCTGAAGGATTAACTTCCAGAGCAGAAAATGCCACAATATTCAAATGCAGTACGTGCAAGAAAAGGTCTGAATAAAAACATGCTGCAACTTCCTGAGTGTAGAATTAAATTCCTGTGACAGGCTATGCTAGGAAGTTTTGAGAGTTCCAGAAAATAACTTAAAATGATCATAAGCAAATAAGCGTTTATAAAATGGCTCTGCTGCTGTCCACACATTTCTTGTACATGGAAGTTCATCTGGGAAGTTTTTAAAAAGATGAAGCTCTGCAGAACAATGATGGAAAACTAAAATCTAAGAGTTGCTGTAGTTGGAAACCAAAAGCAAAAAGACACTTTAAAGTTGTGAAAGAACAGCATTTCTTCATGTGATATCATCAACCTCCTTTAGAATGATATAGCAGCAGCTAAGAGAGGTGCAGAAGGTGATTCATAACATATGCTTTTAATGACTTTGGTGGGTTGGACTTGAATTGGGTAACTTGCATAGGATGACTTGGATTGGGAAATCCATCTTTCGTCAGTGGGGATGTACGCACATCTGCACAATTATCTGTTAATCATCATGTGTGGTTGTTTGTTTTTTATAGTTCATGAACATCTGACTTTTTCAATGCGTCGAGGAACTGGAATTATTTACTGTGGCAAGGAAATCCATTCATCCTCACTCAAGTCTTTCCAAGTTCGGGTACCAAAAACGCCCGGTGCCATCCCATACGTTGCAAGCGACCAGAGCTTCTCAGAGGGCTGTCACTTCTGGGAGGTAGACACCAGCAATGCGAAGTGCTGGAGGCTTGGAATCATTAGTTACAGATCTGAGTGTTACCTGCAAATGTCTCATAATTACCTGCATGTGTTCCAAGGTCAAACAATGATCAAAGGAAAGGAATTTCCTACAGGCCTCAAAGTGGTCAGGGTAGAGCTAGACTGTGGAAGAAATACACTGTCATTTTATAACATGTCTGTCAAGGATGGAGATCCTGCTGAGAACCTCAGCCTTATAGAGACAGTAAGCATCACTGTGACCAATTCTGCGCATGCTACCTTTGGCATGTCTGATGGCTCTTTGAAGCTCCTGTAGTGGTGTGGGGACACGGTGCTGTTTTGTGTTTCCAGGCCTAGGTATCGAGACTGCTGCTACACAGAGGCTGTGTTAAGTTGGCATATTAGAAATCAGATTTTTGGGCTGCTGTGAAGGCTCACCTGTGTGAGGGCAAGGTGTCTGCAGGGTATATCACAGCACACTGCTGCTTACTGCAGGAGCTCCTATCTTATTTGTTCTGTTAATGGTGATGGAAATACTGCTAAGTTGTGCTTTTTTGCTTGGCTGTATGAAATGCTGTGTTGGCTGCATGTTATTAAAGTAATTTAGTTGCAAACTCAATGGCAATTTAGTTTCTAAAGCAGTTGACGGCACAACGTGAACTGCTACAGAAGGAAGCAGCAGAGGTGCTGATCTTTGCTCTAATGCATCAGCTGTTACCCCTGCCCTCCTCTGCCCATTCTGTACAACCCCAGCCATCCCTTGCAGAAGCAAAGCTGGCCTGGGAGGCCAGCAGAGCCTAGGAGGTAAGTCACCTGATTTCCCTTGCTCTCTGCTGTCATCCCCTGTGAGCTCTCTGATAGATGACTTACCTACTTCTCGCCTCGGTTTTAATTTTATCCTCACCTATGCAAAAGTCTCACAGCAAAAGGAGTAATGAAGAGGAAAACTCCTGTGCCTTTAGTCTGTGCCATATGGGCACTAGATGAGTTCATTCTTATGCTTGTCCCAACACCTTGGAAAGGAAGAGATGCTATTCCTGCCTGATGCCTGTGGTTCTGCTGCTTTCAGACAGAGCCAGGGTATTTTCACAGAGGTCCAGGCAGGAGCTCCCTCCCCCAGCAGGGACAGTGAAGGACCTTGAGGGACACTACAGTTTTCCATACACTAAAACAAATCCTTGTTGAGTCTTAGAAGAAAGTGGCTGTGTTTTGTCTTTTGCATTTGTTGTGGTTTGAGTCCAGAGAGGAACCACGTACCACACAGCCTTTCACTCACTCTTTCCCTGCAGTGCTGGGAAGGAGAAAATGAAGCAAAAGGCTCTGGAATCGAGATAAGGATGGAGATGGGTGGCTCATACATTACGGTCTCAGTCAAAAAACCAGACTCATTAGTGGAAGAAAAAGAACATCACTTTAATTCAAACACTAACAAAAACAACACTTAGCAGACAAGGTGGGACAGTGAGCACCGCCACATCCAAAACCTCTCCCCTCTTCTTAGGCTCAGGTCTGCTCCCAGTCTCTCTACCTCCTCCCCCAGTGGCACAGGGGAGAGGGAATGGGGGTTACAGTCAGTCCGCTGCCCCTGGAGGCAGGAGCAATGCTGCACATTCTTCCCTTGCTCTGCGTGGTTTCCCTTCTCACGGGAGACAGTCTTCCGCAAACTTTCTCCATTGTGAGTCTTTCCCACGGGTTGCAGTACTTCCCAAGCTGCTCCAGCACGGATCACCCCTGCGTGTTGCAGTCCTCCTGGCACTGAGCTACATCAGTGGGGGCTGCCTCAGTCTTCTTCGGGTGTAACCACCTGCCCTGATGTGGCTCTTCCTCAGGCTTTAGGTTGGCTTCTGTTCTACCAGGGACGTCCATGGGTGGCAGGGTGGGCAGCCCTGCCATCTCCCCACGGGATACAGGGATCTCCGCTCCAGCATGCCTCACCCACTTCCTCCTTTCTTCCACTGACCTCAGCATTCACATAGGTGTCCTCCTCACAACTCTTCCTCCCAGTTCCCCTTCTTAAATATGTTATCTCAGAGGTGCAGCCACCATCGCTAATCGGCTTGGCCTTGGCCAGAGCTGAGTCTGGCTTGAAGCCAGGGGAGCCTTCAAGAAGCTTCTCACAGGGGGCCAATGCTGTAGCCCCCTCTCTCACTACCAAAAAACCCCACCACACAAACACAGCACAGCATTTTATACACCAAAATGATAGAGAAAACCATGTGGGTAGAGTCTCCCAAATGCACCTGCAGTGGCTGCTGCTGCTCTGCCTGGTCTCTGGTGGTACGGGGGCAAAGTGAGGTAAGCAAGGCTCATGACACAGTACAGGGATGTACCTTGAATGCCTTTCCAAGAGCCTTTACCAGCCCTCATTTCCCTGTCAGCTGGCTGTAGGTAGGAGATACCAGTCTCAACAAGTCCCAGATGGACTTGCCCCTGAGTTGTCCCTATTTTACCTGTCCCTGTTGTGGAAAAGAATGAGACAAAGCAGAGGCAATTGTTGGCTTACCCCTGTGAGGCTCATACTCTTCTCACCCAAGCTTTATCTTTAGTTTGCTGCCCCTGGCGTGGATTTTTCTGGGAGGGCAGAGGGCTGTAGGAAAATTGTCCATCTCATGCCCTCAACAGCATCCCCTGCTCCCACCAGCCTGCTGGGGCTCACATACAGATCGATGCTGACTGAGGCCAAGGGCAAATGTCTAAAGTAGCTGCCACGGCTTACAAGAGCAATTTGCGGGTGGAGCCCAGGACAGGGAACGTCACAGGGCAGAGAGGAAGGACGTGCAGCTTCTGGGCTGGGTCTGCAACTGGGGCACAAAGCCAAGGACATCTTTTTAGTTTCGTTTCTCGCACACTGGATAACACACCATTTCTGCAGCCATGGCAAAAGCTAGGGAGGAATTTGGAGGGGGTGCTAGTCTGGAGAACGAACTGAGCTGTCCCATCTGCCTGTGCCTGTACAGGAACCCAGTGTCACTGAGCTGCGGTCACAGCTTCTGTAAGCAGTGCATCCAGAAGGTACTCAGTGCCCAGCAGCAATCCAAGGCCCCTTACTCCTGCCCCATGTGCAAGTCCCAGCTGGGGCCCATCCTGGAGCTGCAGAAGAATTTTCAGCTGTGCAGCATCGTGGAGGCATTCCTGGCCACCTCCTCCAAAGAACAACAGGGTGAGGAGTCTGCAGAGAGGAAGAAGGAGGTGGTTCCCTGTGACTTCTGCCTGGATTGGTCCCAGCCAGCAGTGAAAACCTGCCTGATCTGCGATGCATCTTTGTGCCAGGCCCATCTGAGCAAACACAATGCCAAGGCTTCCCAGCAGAACCACGTCCTGGTGGAGGTGGGCGCAGGTGGTGTGGCGATGGAGAGGAAGTGCCCGGAGCATGGCAGGCTGCTGGAGTGCTACTGCCAGGACGAGGGGCAGTGCATCTGTGTGCTCTGCTCTATTGCGGGGTGCCACAAGGGCCACAGCATCATCACCCTGCAGGAGGCACACGACAAACAGTTGGTAAGGAGCTTTCCTCTCCCCATGGCCCCTGCAGGGTTTGCTCCAAACTCCTGACCTGAGGAGGAAGGGGGGAAGCTGCAGGAGGGGTTGTAAGGCTTTCACCATAGAATGGGGATGGAGGGGTGAGGGCAGACAGGCAGCAGCTCATGGGATTTCATGTCTGCCCCAACTGGGATTGGTACCGTGTGCCAGTATTTGCTTTTTATTTCCTCCTTTGTGTTGCCAAGCCAGCCTGGCAGGCTAAGCAGAGGGAGAAGGAAGAGCAGAGAGAGGTGTTTGGGGTGGACCAGGACAAGGGTGGGTAAACCCTGCAGTGTGTGTTGACGTGTGTGTGTGTGTGTGTGTGTGTGTTAGAGCGAGCAAGAGGCCTGAGCGGGGCTCTGCTGTCCCATGCACCGTCTATCCTGGGCAGCCCCAGGCAACTGCAAACTGCCACTCACAAGTGCTTTCCTGGCTGGCATTAAGAAGTATTCCTGCAGGGATTAAGAAGTCTCATCCTCCACAGAGCCTGGGGGACCCCACCACTCCTGAACTCAGGGTTGAGAAACAGCATTTCCCACTCGAGGCCCTTCCCTCTGGCTCCTTCCTCCTCCTGCCCCGGGTTTTGCTGAGCCAGCATCCCAGCGGGCACGGAGATGTGGAGCAGCCTCGATGTCCCCGCCTTTGAGTCCAGCTGCTGTCCTTGAAATGCTCCAGTCAGCTGAGACTGAGGGCATAAAATGCATTTGCTATGCTCGCTCACTGCCTTGCATTTGAAATTTCTGGGCTCAACTTCTGGGCTCCTCCAGGAACCCAGTGCATGGGCAGAAAAGGCCTGGCTCGCTCTGGATATCTGGACAGGTCACAGCTGCCTCAGGAATTAGCAGGAAGTATCCTCTGCAGCCACATGTATCACAAACTATCTTTCTCCCCCAAATTACATATACAACAGAAGTGGTCTGTGTAGGATAGTAGCCATTTCCTTCATCCCTGGAGCTGGTAAAGGAGAAACACTGCCCTATCTATGAGGAAGCCATCTCCATGGGTAAACTGAGATCTCAGCTGCATAGTACTCTTGGTTCAGTTTTGTTTGGTTTGGTTTGGTTTGGTTTTTTAAAAAAAAAAAACTTCCCAGGATAGCCAGGGAAATCAAGAATGCAGCTCTTCAGGAGGAATTATAAAAGGTTTTTGGTGCAAGGAAGCTTGGTCAAATTTGATTATTTGTCTTTTAATTTATCAAAAACTGAAACACTCCAGCTGTGACAAATATCTCATGGAAAACCTAAGCTTTCTGGAATGATTTTTATTAAATAAATGGGAACCTGGCAGCTATGTCTGCCATGGACATTCATGGGTGCTTGAGATGTGAAAACGCTGCTGGTGGCAGCCAGGAGCAACCAAAACCATTCAGAGACTGTTTAATCCCTAAAGAACAAAGTCTAATGTCCGCTCTGAAATATGTTATCGTGCAGTATAACAACACTCCATGATCATGGTATCCCTTAAAATAAACAGCTAGATGAGTAAATGCTGCTGTTTTGCTGATTTTCAGAAAAGATTGTTGCTTATTACCTTATCCTCAGATCCCACAGCTGCTGACAGATGTGAAAATAAGGATTTGAATCACATTAGGCACATGTGAAGATTCTGGCAGGAACATAACTTTAATGGATAAAGTGTGATTTATTAATTTAAAGTGAAATTTACTTATTCAAAGGGAAAGTTATTTATTAACCTACCATATACAAAGTTACACATATATAAAAATTAAACATTGACTTGAAAGTTTTCAAGATCATATCAGTTTTCTGGTATGCCCTATCTTTATGACAAGACAAGTGAACGCAGCTTATTATAGCAGTCACTGGTGAAAGTGGGCAGGTAGAAGGCGCCGGTGGCATTTCACCAGTTCTACAAAGTGCCAGTCTGGTTTAAAGGTACTCATGCTGCTTCCCTGCTATGAAGTTCAATGCTGTCTTTCCTTCTGCTAGGGCAAACTCTCGGAAATCGTGGCGTGGCTGCAGGAACATAAAAGTGCTTTAGCTACTGCCCTAGAAGAGCTTCAGAAAAGCGAGAATCAGCTCAAGGTTGGTACCCAGATCATTGCTAATTCAGAGCATCTTTCCTCCACAATTTCCCAGAAACAAGTGATGACAACTATACTGTTAGAAGCAGATGAATAGAAAGAGATATAGTCCAAAGCAGGGAAAACACTGATGTAAGAAACTGCCAGAAGCCAAGTTTTCTCACAGCCTCCCAGCGTAGCTCCATGGGATGAACCCTCTGGGAGACTCCACCATTTATTGCGGTTGCACAGACCAGGTTTCAGAACTGGCAGACCACAGATTGTACATATTTTTATGTATTTTTAAAGTTTTCTATCCATTAACTAAAAGAAAAACAAATTGAGTCTACAAATGGGATTTTCATTTTGTACCAATACAGTTCTCACATTGCTAGCTGAATTTTATCTGATTTTGTTATTACACCAGGATTCGTTTTCATAATCCTCTGTTTAATCAGATATTCTAAGCAAACGCTTATTGTGTGCTTCCTTCTAAAGCCAGTGCAAAGGATAGATACAATCCTAAATAATAAATAGAGACACTAAACTGAAGTGTTGAGTTCCTGAGCCAGTGCACCATTTCCTTATCTGTCCATTTAGACCAATACAAAAACAGTGACTTCTCAGCTGCAAAAGCAGTTTGAAGAGATTAAGACAGTGATGATTCAGAAAGAGAAGAAGATCCTGAGTGACATTCAATCCAATGAGAAAAAACAACTGGCAGAGATTACCAAAGTGAAGAAGGAAATGGAACAGAGGAGAGATGAGGCTGTGCAGCATCTCCAGTCTTTGCAGAAGATGAGAGATCAACCAGATATTTTACTCTTCTTCAAAGTAAGCAGTGGTATTATGCTTTTCTTCATTATCATGCCTATTTCTCAGCCAGCTGCCCTTTCTGGAAATCATACTAACATTTTTTTTCCTTTTTTTTTTGGCAATCCTATTTGTAGGAATTTAAACTGGCCATGGACAGGTATGTTCCACCTGAAAACACTTGTTTTCTTCTTTGAAAAAATATGGTGTTGATAACTGGGGTCAAACCTCTGCCTGTGCCCCTCTGTCCTGGCACCCTCTGCTGCAAAGCTGCTCCCTGTTCCAGCCAAGACAGAGGGCACCACATCCACACAACTAACGAGGATGAAGAGATACTGCCTGCCATTCCAGTGGTCCCTTTAAGTTTCAGTTTCCTTGGCAGCTACACAATTTCTGGATTCTGATGAAAACCACTGGCTTTTATGACCAGAAAAATGTTTTTATCAGAAATGAAGCCTACAGGGTTCAGTTTACAGCAACACTCTCTTGGATGCATATTGGTGACACTCTTGCACATAGTCCCAGTGAACAGCCTTTGGCCGCAGAGGTAACTGGCTCATTTCCCACCCATTTTTTCTTCTGCTTGTGGACAAGTTTAACAGCTAAACAGATTTATTATCCATCCTCTTGCAAGTGATACATTTAATTTATAACTTATCACTTCCTAATTGATGCCTGGGTGTCAGCTGTAATTCAGTGGTGCAAAACCACACCAAGTTACAGATCCACAAGAGATTTTGCAGCAGCACTAAACTCCCCAGACACATGAAGGGCTAACTCAAACATCTAGCTGGATTTTAAGATGTCACCTCTGTAACTTGCACAAATTAAAGCTGAGTTTGAACTTGGACTGTAAGGATAACTTTGAATCACCGTGTACCTAAGGGCTGTGCTGGCAGCAGCACAGGCCATTAGTCACAGCTGTGTGGCAAGTCAAAATCTAGCCTGTGGGATCAAAGACATTTTCCAGAAGCCTGGAAATTTAATATGTTTGGCATTTTCTTTATGTTATGACGGTGGCTGTGCTAGAACAGTAGGAGCCTGCCTGCAGCAGGTCAAAGCACTGTTTGCACAAGGGTATTGGCAAAATGTCCCCCCCCCCCTTTACTATTTTCAGTATTTGAAAGTTCCCATCCAGGTTTGGTAAGCAAAAGTCATTGCCAAATAAGTAACAATGTATAATAATTGCAACTCACTTAACCTTATTGGAGAGCTGTTTATCTGATACCTCATGTTGCCAAAGCATCCTCCTCTTTGTATAGTCCTTCCTAATGAACCAGTTAGTTAACTTTCTAATGCTAAATGTTTTTCCTTAGTGAAATGACTACCTGTGCCCTAGGATTGCAGGTCAGAATTTCAGCGCTAGCAAGATGGACGTGGCAGTAGTGCAGCTGGATCAGGCCAGGATCGCCCAGTACCGACACGTGATAAGGGACTTTGTGACCCGCCTGGACTCGCTGCTGCAAGGCGTGCACAGTGAGTGACCTGCCCGGCCACGCACCGCTGGCCCCGAGGGAAAAGCAGCAAGCCGTGGGGTTCAGAGAGCCGTGGGGTTCAGTGACCTGTGGGGTTCAGAGAGCCGTGGGGTTCAGTGACCTGTGAGGTTCAGAGAGCCGTGGGGTTCAGTGACCTGTGGGGTTCAGAGAGCCGTGGGGTTCAGTGACCTGTGGGGCTCAGGGCTGCCGGCCAGCCAACGCTGGCTCCTTTATACAAGGTCTGTGTGTGGCCTTGAGGGGCTGATGAGGATTTGGATGGGATATCAGGAGTGTTGGAGAGGGGAGGGCATAGAGGGAAGAAAGACTGTTTCTGGGGATAACAAGGAAAAGGTCTTCTTCTAGCCAGTGTAAGGCCAGCTTCTCCCCTGTCTGATGTGATTTCCTGCTCCCACCTGCCTCCCACGTCTTGGGGTGCTCAGTCATGCTTTTGAGAAACGCCCTCTTCATTTGCCAACCCTCATCTCCACCTAGTTTATCCCCGACCATGAGAAACAGGGGTACAGTACCAAATTCCAAACTTGAATGCATTACCAGCTTTGTAAAACATTCTTCTTCATCTTTCTTAGGTGAACTCACCAACCAAATTAAGAGCAAGAGGTAAATACTTTGCTTTACTTACAAAATGTTCCCTGCAAATTACATAGATTCATAGAATGGTTTGGAAGGGACCTTAAACACCGCCTAGCTTCAACCACCCTGCTCTGGGCAGGGCCCCCTTCCCCCAGCCCAGGGGGCTCCCAGCCCCGTCCAACCTGGCCTTGAACCCTTCCAGAGAGGGGGCAGCCACAGTTTCTCTGGGCAACCTGTGTCAGTGTCTCACCACCCTCACAGGAAGGAATTTATTCCTTATATCTAATCTAAATCTACCCTCTTTCACTTTAAAACCATTACCTCTTGTCCTATCACTACACGCCCTGATCAAGAGTCCCTCCCCGTCTTTCCTGTCCCCCCTTTAAGCACTGGGAGGCTGCTATAAGGTCACCCAGACCCTTCTCTTCTCCAGGCTGAACCCCCCCAACTCTCTCAGCCCGGCCTCCCAGGGGAGCTGCTCCAGCCCCCCAAGCATCTTCGTGGCCTCCTCTGGCCCCGCTCAAGCAGGTCTGTGTCCTTCTGACATTGGGGGCCCCAGAGCTGGACACAGCACTGCAGGTGAGGTCTCACAAGAGTGGACTAGAGAAAGAGAATCCCTTCCCTCAACCTGCTGGCCACACTTCTCTTGATGCAGCCCAGGACATGGTTGGCTTTCTGGGCTGTGAGCACACCTTTATGGCTCATAGTCCGTTTTCCCATCCACTAACACCCCCAAGTCCTTCTCTGCAGGTCTGTTCTCAATCTACTCATTGCCCAGCTGTATTTGTGCTTGGGATTGTCCCAACCCATGGGCAGGACCTTGCACTTGGCCTTGTTGAACTCCATGAGGTTTGCACAGGACCACCTCTTCAGCCTGTCCAGGTCCCTGTGGATGCCATCCCTGCCCTCCAGCATGTCACCACACCACACAGCTTGGTGTCGTCGGTGGGTGCACTCAATCCCACTGTCCATGTCACTGACAAAGATGTTAAACAGCACCAGTCCCAGCACCGTCCCCTGAGGAATGGCACTCGTCACTGCTCTCACTTGGACATCAAGCCGTTGACCATGACTCTTTCTTTGAGTATGACCATCCAGCCAATTCCTTATCCACCCAGCAATCCACCCATCAAATCCATGTCTCTCTAATTTAGAGGCAAGGGTGTCATGCAGGACATCATCAAATGCTTTACACATGTCCAGGTAGATGATGTCAGTTGCTCTTCCCTTATGCACCAGTGCTATAACCCCATTGTAGAAGGCCACCCAATTTGTCAGGCATGATTTGCCCCTAGTGAAATCATGTTGTCTGTCACCAATCACCTCCTTATTTTCCACGTACCCTAGCATAGTTTCCAGGAGGATCCACTCCATGATCTTGCTGGGCACAGAGGTGAGACTGGCCTGTAGTTCCCTAGGTCTTCCTTTTTTCCCTTTTTAAAAATGGGGGTTATGTTTACCCTTCTCCAGTCAGCAGGAACTTAATTGGACTACCTCGACTTGTCAAATATGATGGATAGTGGCTTAGCCACTTCACCCGATAGTTCCCTCAGAACCTGTAGATGCATCTCATCAGATCCCATGGGCTTGTGCACCTTTGTGTTCCTTAGATGGTCTCAAACCTGATCTTGTCCTACAGTGGTGGTTCTTCACTCTCCCAGTCCCTCCTTTTGCCTTCTGTGACTTGGGTGGTGTGGCTGGATCCCTTGCTGGTGAATACAGAGGCAAAGAGGCAAAAAAGTCATTGAGTTCCTCAGTCTTCTCCATATCCCGGGTAGTGAGATGTCCTGTTTCCTTCCAGAGAGGGCTCATATTTTCCCTAGTCTTCCTCTTGTCACTGATGTACCTATAGAAGCTTTTCTTGTTGCCCTGGATGTCCCTGGCCAGGTTTACTTCTATCAGGGCTTTGGCCTTCCTAACCTGATCCCTAGCTGCTCAGACAGTTTCTCTGTATTCTTCTCAGGCTACCTGTCCTTGCTTCCACTCTCTGTAGGCTTCCTTTTTGTGTCTGAGCTTGTCCAGGAGGTCCTTGTTCATCCATGCAGGCTCCTGTTTTTTTACCTGACTTCCTCTTTGTTGGGGTGCATCACTCCTGAGCTTTGAGGAGGTGATTCTTGAATATTAACCAGCTTTCTTGGGCCCCTCTTCCCTCCAGGGTGTTATCCCATGGTACGTTGCCAAGTAGATCCCTGAAGAGGGCAGAGGCTGCTCTCATCAATTCCTGGGTGTTGAGCTTGGTGTGTGCCCTCTTTGCTGCCTTAAGGATCTTGAACTCCACCATTTCATGGTGACTGCAGCCAAGGCTGCTCTTGAGCTTCACATTCTTCACCAGTCCCTCCCTGTTGGTGAGAGCAAGGTCGAGCATAGCACCTCTCCTCATTGGCACCTCTATCACTTGGAGGAGGAAGTTATCATCAATGCATCCCAGGAACCTACTGAATTTTCTCCAACAGTTGTTCATTGAAGGACCGACCATGTGTCCTGTGCTCCTCCGCTTCGGTCTCAAGGAGAGCCAAGCAGAGCCTAGAAGTCTGTCCTTCATCTCAAAAGAGCCAGATCTATTCACATCTCTTATTTTTTTATTAACAAGATGTGATCTGTGTTTTATGAGGCACTAACATTCAACACTTTCTTTACAGTGTTCAGTACCAGTATGAGTATTCAGACATTGGTACCTCTTCAAACTGTAAGTATTCAGAAATACTAGCTATTCCTCCAGTGTCTGGTCTGGGGCTGTGAATCTTGCAGAGAAAATCTCTCACCCAAAAACATGACAGCGTTTGTTATATGGATCTCCTCTCCTTGCCAGAGGTAAGACCAGCAGGAGTGCAGCCTCAGGGTGCCGTTCTCAAAATCTGCAGTGGGCAGAAATCTCTGGGAACTCACCAGAGAAATCAATTCTCGTCAGCCTGAGGGAGAGACTGGGTTTGCGTCAATACTGAGTGTGCTCTGAGAAAAGACTGTGGAGGGGTTCCCACCAGCTGAGCAGGAGCTGGAGCAAACCTAGTGCCTGAAAAGATTCCCAGACAAATCCTCATTCTACAGGAGATGTTAAATCTGTAAACAGTATTTACTTTCAGACAGCACCAGTCCAATGCTCAAACAGATTTCTGCTGGGTACAGTCATGCATCTTTTCTACAAGCTTCTTTGAGGAAAACTTATTTAGAAGTTATCTGAAAGACTTTATGGTTTTTAAATGCTGCAACTGAAGTTCAGTTTGAAAACAAGTTTTTCTTAATGCATAAATTCAAAATAAAATCCTACTTTCTTCACCACTTTTTAATTTTTGGAGGGGAAAATTATTTTCTTCTGACAAGCATTTCTTAGGGACAGGTTAATGGTAAAATTTTACTTTGGAAGGGATATGTTTGAGAACAGCTGTTCAGTGCGGGGGTTGAAGATAATGTAGCCTTGTCCTAAATGCAAACATATTTGTTTTACCAGACACATCTGAAAAACCAGAAAAAATGTTTTTCTTTAAGATGCATGGGGTGCAAGTAAGTGATTAAATGGAGTTTTAATTACACAACACCGCTTAACAATACAGTTGCTTTCATTTAACATAATGCCAGCCTCAAATCTAGAGGTCTATTTTTAAATCAGTGTACATGGCCATTTATTTGTCTTGTGAGCTCAGTTTTCTACAGACATATTAATGTCTGTGTTCTATACAGAACCAGACAATTACTCAAAACAGGGGAGGGAGAAGAAATATTTTTTTCTGAGGCAATGCAAAACTGTACTTGGAAGCAATTTGTCAAATATGTTAATAGCATAACAGTAAAAGATTATTTTATTATTACAGTAAGTGACACTTTTCCATCTTGTGTATTCCTACAGCACAAACACGACCGAAAGGATCAGCATACTTCAAGTGGCAGATGTGAACAAAGTGTATGGTCTACATACGCCCAGAAGTAAGGGAAAGATGAAAAAAAGAAGTCAGAACTGAGATGGAAATAAAAAGTTAAATATTGACAAAAATGTCCTCTAATAATGGGGACCTGCTAAGTGTCTTGAGCTCCCCTGCACACCTGCTATTAAAAGCAATTCTATAACATCTGCAAATTTAGAAAAGAAGTGCTAAGAATTAACATGAACATAAGAAAACATCCAACTATTGCTGGCTTCCAAACTGCATACTGTATCATCTCATGGCATTAATGACACCTATGTACTATTAATTGTGGTGACTGTGTTGTCATTAAGTGGTTGGATAACCAAATAAATGGCTATAGATACAGATAAACAAGGCTGGCTTATTTCATACCATCACCAGGAATTAATTGTTGGGATCACTGTGGACGGCTGCATAGAAAGCTGTTGGGGACCATGCCACAGATTTGGATTATCACATTTAACACAAGTGATCTTCATAGCAAAGAACTAATTATCTTTGTATGAAACCATCTTAGTCAGTCTCTAAGCCACTTTTAATAGTTCTCCTACAGAGCGCTCAAAGAACCATGCAAAATACCAGTCAGCAGCGTACAAAGATGCTTTACCAGTCACATCTCCATGTGTACAGATGTTCTCTTCTGATCAAGCACATGCTGTGCTTTCCAGATGTAGCCCTTATGGCACATGTCAACTCCACCAAGGGATTTCAGGGGCACTGCCAGGCAGATAGGCTCACTCTGTTGCTCTAGGCTGCTCTGTGCCTAGCTATGGTTCAGATCCAACACGTAGGTTCACAACCTGGGTGTTTCTTCTCCATATGATAAAAATATTCTACTGCAAATCAGGGTTGTCAACATAAACATTTTTAAGAAATTAAGGCTAAAGTTCTGGATGCTTCTATATAAATTAGGACTCATAGCTACAACTCTATTCTGTCACTTGTGATAATCAACATATGCTTAATTGCAGGGATTAAAAACAATAAACTCGGCAAAAACCATCTCAGATTTAGAGTAACATCTCCCTTTGTGGTTTAAACAGGCTAGCCAAGCTGTGCTGGATGCGCAGCCCTTGCTCTGCTGCACACATCAATTGTCAGTGTAACAGAAAGTGTGCGGCCAAATTTTGGGAGCTCAGCAGTAGCTCAAGGTGACTTTGGAAATATTCCCTACTGCTCAAATCCAGCGAGACACAAAGGACAACTGCTCTCAACTACTCAAATGAGGCAAAAGAAATGAGCCTGTCCTTCGGCACTTTTATTACATGGGCCTCTCTCTGGCTGCCAGGTGGTTATTGCTTTCACCCCAGGTGAAGAAGCCGTGACCAGCCAATGCAGTTCGTTGCTGCTGCTGCAGACAGTAAGTTACTGCACTGCTGCAGATCACTACAGAGAATGAGATTTACTCAAGCATGGTATCTTAAGTCACTGCCTCCCACCTCTCCCACCCCCTCCGCCATCTCACAGTGCATCCTATGTTGACTACACTTAGGAAACATCAGCACCTCTGTAGCCCCTTCCGAAATACCAGTTTAGCATTTCCTCAGTGAAACCATTATAAACATACTCCTGTGCCTCCAGCCACAGGCTGCTGTGGCAGAACTGGAGCACAGCTCTCCCCCTTGCTAGCAGAGGGAAAGGGCATCTGGCAGCAGGGTGCTGAGCAATTCCAACACCCCCAGGCAGCTGCCCTCACCAGTGTGATTCAGGATATACGGCTACCCCTTGCCAGCAATCAATTCTCATTTTTTTAACACCATTTCTGACAGCCTTGGAGAAGCCATGATGACATCTTCTTTCCCCAGGGAGGATGAGGTACTGATTTCACCTTTCCTCCAATGCCAGCCGTCAGCTCCTGGAATGTCTGAGCCCCTGGCAGAAATGTATGTGACCTGTTTAGAGAAGAGTCCTCATGGAAACCTCCACTGCAGGTGACCATCCAGTTCTCACAAATGGAGTCACATTCACAACAGGCTTTCAGAAGGGCTGGGAGCAGTTGAGGAGGGAGTATGTCTGCAGCAGGCTGGGTGAAGGCGGTTCATGCTTTAAGGAAGAGCTCGGTAGCCCTCTGTAGACAGTTGTAATGCTGCCTTTGAAGTATCGATCACAGGTAATATAGGATTGCACTAAGATTGAAGTACATAGTATAACTAAAACCCAGGACCAATGGGACTTATTGACCAAAATGAAGACATTATTGTCTGGATGGAACTTGCCTAGCATCTAATTTGGAGGGAAAAGCGAATGTAGCTCTTCACTTCTAGGCTTATCGGACTCAAATTTGGGGCTGATGCAAACACTTGTCAAAGTGGAGCAAAAGAAGGTGACACTATTGTAGGCAAAATTAATGTGATCTAGGAGATAAGGAATTAGTAAGTGCTGCTATATGGCAAAAGAAAAGGATTTTGTTTCAAGTAGATTGGAGAAAAATAAATTTTTAAATACTGCTGCAGGCTCACAAAGCTTTTAGATGAAAATTAATATCTAGGAAGGTAGATTTTCTAAGTTAGATACTAAGCTGATGGTGCAATTTATTTCCCCCATACATTTGCCTGCTATAGTGTTAGCAAACATAGACTCCTCTGAACTTGACGCTTGTCATATTCTTAATATTCCATGCATTAGCCTTGAGGAATTAGAGAGGTGAAAGACCAGATGGAAGCAATGTAAGAAAACACACTGGAGCCCAACAATTATTCCACTAAGCCTTCTAACTCACAACAACACTCTGAAAATGTTAACACCTAGTTAGTTTTTGACTCTAGGAGACAATATTGGACCGGTGTAGCAATTCTACACAGATATTTGTGCAGAACACTCATTCTTGATAGCAGTATAATTGTGAGATACATAGTCCTGAGATATGGACAGACGTTTATTTCTTTTTTATATCTTTATGGCTTAAGTATTTTGATTACCTAAGGATTCTGATTCATTGCATCTTTCATTATTTATCATGCTCTCTTCCCTCTGCCCACTTCATTTTTACTTGGCATTTATTTCATCCTTGATGGAAACCTTTAGAGGGGAGGACATCAAAGCAGCTGATTTTATGGCTCTTTTTTTGCTTTTGCCAAGCATTGCATGATGTGGCTGAATTTATAATCAAATGCATAAATAAAATGCATTTCAAAAGCTAGGACAGGCCTCTTTCTGTTACTTAGTCTGATGGGTGTCTGACGTAAGTCAGACACGCCACATCTAGACCTTTTTATGTCTGACACCAGGGCTTTCTAAGACCAGCAGGCTAGACAGCAAACCCCAGGATACCACTTCAATTCTGCACACTGGACACCGCAGAAGGTCTTGAGGAACATTGTCCTAAGGCCCCTGATTGCTTCCCCCAAAAGCTCAAGTTTAAGAAGATCAGGGTAGCTTAACGTTACTTCTGTTTTGTCCCTATTTTCTGGCTATTAACATTTGCCTGAGTGACCAGACAAGCTGTCTGCATGGGGAGGCAGGTTTGTACAACCTCCAACATGCAGAAAGATTTCACTTTCTGGGCAGCAAGCTAGGCAGTTCTCATGTTCTCCATCTAGTAACTTAATGCAACATTTTGCAAATGCAGGCCCAAAGCTCAGAGGATGGTGAGTTGTACAGGGAAAGAAGGACAAGGAAAGAAAATAACACATTTTAGCTGCCTTCACCATTGCTCACCTGTCCTACCATGCGGCCGTACAGCTGGCAGGACCAAGGCAGTGGGCACAGAGTTATTAGGAGGGCACTACTGAAAGCAGGAGACTCCTTACACAAGGCTGGGAGACAGGTGGCATAAACCAGTCAAGAGCTGGGGGAAATCAGAGGGTGGCTTTATCTGCTGACTGATAAAGCAGAGCTGAAAGCCTGAGAAGAACCAGGGAGAGCCACAGGTTTTATTGGCGGGGCAGAGAGGGACAGTAAGACTGTCCCAAGCAGCCTGTAGAGCTCTTTGCCAGAGGGACCAGCTGTACGAGAGCTGCTGGGCAAGAGGCAAGGCGGGAGGGCTTCCTTGGCTGCAGTGTGCAGGGCTGCCCCAGAGTATGTGCCCGGTGGAACAAAATGGAGAATTTTTAAAGATTATTTCATAGCCTGAGAAACTGGTTTCTGGAGATTAGATATCATAAAGATGATGGGGCAACCTGGAGAACCAGAGGCAGCGGGTTTGACAGGCAGAATGAATAGGACAGGCAGATGGCACATGCTAGCATTTGTGTATCAGCAAGCCTCAGCTCACGGTTCTTTGGCAGGAGATTCTAGAGCGTGAGGTTCCCAGAGGCACATTTCTCCAAGGCCAAAGGTTCCCTTACCACAGAAATACATTAACCATAAAACTTAATATACCTCAAGAAGAGGAAGGCAGTTGCAAGTTAAATTATTTACTTATCTTAAATATTTACTTGATTTTTTTCCCTCACTTTTTAGAAAATCAGTGGACAGTAAAAAGAAAAAAAAAACCTAATAATAGTAGCGATTCGGGAAAAAAATAGTGCTTGGAATTTTTTTTTAATATCATGTTCTTTATTTGCACTCCATGAAGATATTGTTTTCCTGTATCTTCTATGAAGACATGATGCATATGATGATCTAAGTTCTTCCACAACCAATGCCTCTAGAACAACAATGAAAATGCTGTAATGTCTTTTGCTTGGTTTTGTAGTTTCTTACTCGGTTTCTGCAGAGTCCCTACACAAAGAGCTCCTCTTAATGCTTTTGTCATAGATGTCACTCCTCACAAGGATTTGCTCTGGTAGTCTTGGAGTCACCATATACTTCAAACTCAATTAAAACTCCTGTAAAAGTCCCTAAGAGGACTGGGAAGTCAGAGCCACTGATGCTTTTGATGGTGGGTAGCCAGAGGAGAGGGAGGCAGCTCTTTTATTTCCTTTGCAACTTGCCTGTTCTAGTTACCATGACATCTAATTAAACCTTGGTGGAGAAGGAGAATGTTTACTATTGGAAATATTCTGTATTTTCACAGCAAGATTGATAGCATTTGCCTGACACCAAAAGACGTGAGCACGGGTTCTGCAGGCTTGAAGTTGGTCTCACTTTCTCCAATGATGCATTGATGGGCATTTTGGCAGCTCGAGGTTCCACCTGAATTGCAAGTATTAGGCAATGTTGGACTTCAGAGAATGTCTGCTTTTCTGTGCAAATGGCAAAGAAAAGGCAGAGGAGGCTGGGTATGGAACCTCAAGTCCAGAGATGAAGGAGTACTGGACAAAAAAATGGTATTTTTCAATGTTGACATTGTCTAAGAACCTCTGTCCTTCCCAGTTGGAAGTACCTCCCGGACAGAGCTGGACACTGGGCCAAATAACACTTAGGGATTTTGAAGAACTATTTTTTAATGACTACTAGTAGTACCTCAAAGCAAAATGGAGCCATTTTGTGTGTCAGAAATTGTTACGGTTTCCCTATCTGTGACAATGGCAGGAAGTTTAAGGTCACTTTACCTCAAGTTACCAATACACAATCTTTCAACTTGAGTGTGTGACTGCATCAACTGAAACGTGGATTCTGCACCAGAGTTCCTCTGGTTTGCTTTTTGTTTCAGGGTGGTTGCTTTTCTGGGGTAAGGAGCAGAATTAGTGAGTCACTCTCTGCACCAGGCTTTTTCAGTCCGCTCCGAATTCAGAACACACTTGGAATTAATTAGAAACTAAAAACTGAAGGGTTAGGTGGGGGGACCGCACCGAGGACGGCAGTGAGGGCGGCCTGGTAGGCCCCACTCTGCGCGCCGGGTTGGACCGGCCCCGGCCCCCGCCCCGGCCCCCGCCCCGGCCCCGGCCCCCGGCCCCGGCCCCCGCCCCGGCCCCGGCCCCCGCCCCGGCCCCCGCCCCGGCCCCGGCCCCCGGCCCCGGCCCCCGGGGCGGTCCGTCCCGTCCCGTCCCGTCCCGTCCCGTCCCGTCCCGTCCCGTCCCGCCTCCGCGCTGCGGCGAGGGGCGCGGCGGGGGCGGCTCTGCCGTCCCCTCCCCTGCCCGCCGCTGCCGGCCTCCTCGCGGGGCCGGGCCGGGCCGGCGCTGCCGAGCCGCCGGGAGCCGTTGGGGCCGGTCGGTGGGTCCCGCCTGCCCGAGTCCTGCCCGCAGCCGCCGGCGGCCCCGCGGTGAGTGGGCGCCTCAGCCGCGCCGAGGCGCGAAGGAGGCGGCCGTGGGGGGACGGGCGGTTCGGGGGGCGCGGGCAGCGGGGGCTTGCGGTAGGCCCGGATCGGCTCCCCAGGGGAGGCTCCTGCTCGCAGCCCCGCGTTGTGTAGATCCTCGCAAGACGTGGCCTCAAAACAAAAAGAGGAAAGTGGAAAATGAAATCCAGCGGGGCAGGCGGAGGGCGCGCGCTGCCGGGGTGGGGGTGCCTGGCCGCCGGAGGGGCCGGGTGTGAAGGAAGTGCTGCTGAGATCGGGAGGATGAAACCGAGTGTAGTGTGAACGGCGCTCTAACTTCCCTTTCGCTATCTTGGAAACTTAAATGTTGATCGGCTTCCAAAGGGATACGCAAGCCCTCAGCAAAACCCCGCAGTTTCAGGAGTATAAAAAGTGCGTGGGTTTCTTCTTGCTGTACGCCTCTCTTGCAGGTTTAATTTTTTTTTTTTTTTTTTTTTTTTTTTTAAATAAGTACTGCTTTATGCAGTGCAAGCCCTGTGCATGGCTTTCCCTTCAGAGCCGGACGGGTCTCTCGCCCAGCACTGCCGTGCCCCCACGGCCGGTGCTCCTTGGCGCAGCGCTTCCACTGTCCGAACACCGTTCCTAAGTGCTCTGCCTTCCTTAGCTAACGGTAAGGGCGGGAGGAGAGTCCTCACCTAGAAGTGGCTTGCTGAAGATAGCACTTGGCTAACTCTCTATAATAAACGCGGTTCAGGTGGAAACTGCTGGAGTACTGTGTGAGGCCACTGCCGGCTATCTTCAAGAGGGATCTGCTTCAGCCAGGGCAGGGCCGTGTAGCTGTCACACTCAGTGGACAGCTGCTTTCTCAGAGGTGAGCCCGCTTTCTCGGAAGGGCTGGCTGCGAGCGGGGCTGCAGACTTCCCTGGGACCTTCCCCACAGAGGCTGGCGGGTGGCATCGCGGCTGCTGCCGCTTGAGAGAGCTGACATTTGAAGTAGGAAGAGATCGAATAGTTCACGCAGGCAAGGTTTTATTGTCCGGCTTTGCAGGTTTTCCCGCTTGAGTTAATGGCTGGCGGTTATTGTATCGACAGTAAGGTAGCTCTGTTCCTAAGCGTGTTGCTTAAACGTGGTAAATGTGGTGTGTCATTTTATGGTTCTTAGTAAGATTTCCGTGTTCATATGATTTTGAGTCTCATGTTGAAATAGATGTTTGTAGGTTGAATGTTTTCTTGGAGGATGTTAAAGATTTTGTCAAAAATAAGAATTTTTTTCCAAGGTACATGTGGTGCTATTCTTGTGCCTATCTCCGTGTTATCATGGCAATATTGAATTTCCTTGTTGCTCTACAACAGTTAAAAGATTATTTGGAGAAGGCTGTTGTCCAACAAGAGTAAGAACAAAGATTTAGTTACCAAAATATGATATGCTTTCCTTTTATACTCTTAGGGTGAGATTTTCCAAGGACTTAAGGTAGTAGCCCAACTCTGGTTCAGTTCACGTGGATTTCTGATTCACCTGCTTCTCCTTTATATCTCTTAAAAAATTATTCATGTCTCATTAGATTATGTGTTTATGCATTAATTTTCAAGTGCATGTAGTTAAGCTCATGCAGCTTCTCGTGTCTGGCAAGTGGGTATGTGAGGGTGGGTAGTGATTGCATACGGTGACAACTCGTGCACATGAAATGGAGAAAAATGATCTGTAAACCTGAGATCAGTGTTATAAAAAGAACGGTTTTGATTTAGTTTCTACTCCTAAATGTTCACATCTTAAGTTTATAATATGTTATTTCAGCAGGTGAGTGAGCTTCACAATCCATTATTCTATTACTGTCAAGGTGACTGTAATCTGTGACAGAGAAATGAAGCCTGAGCCAGCAAGGCCCTGTGCTGCAGGTAGTATTTCCCCAAAGACAGACGCTGGGCAGATGCTAGCTCACCTCTGCCACGTCACAGAGTCAGTAAGAAGAGCCCAGATGGGATCCAGAAATAGTCTGTAAAAGTCATCAGATCTCAAGAATGCAGTACCTCCCCATATCTTTATTTTATGGCAGTCACTTGATAACAGAGAGATACTGGAAATTTCCTCAGTTCTGTGTTGTAGTCTTTTTTCTTTGTACCTTAAATAAAGCTTTGTGGCAATCAGATACCCCCTGAAGATCTTACTCTGACCAAAAGATGCTGAGAGAAGTGAATTCTAGGCATACAAATTAGTTGTACATAAATAGCAGCTTTCAAAATAAAAAGCACAGTAGCTCCTTTTCTGAGTTAAATATACAGAATATCCTTCAGTATACTGAACCAAAGCGTGTTTTCTATTTTTTTTTTTTTTTTTTTTTTTTTTAATATCAAAACCCATTTTTACTAGGCAAGCTTGGGCTAAATGGTTACAAAAATAATACAGAGCAATGCTTTCAGGCAAAAAAGGGTGAAATGGATGTTGGAAATTGTGTCATTTCCTAGTGTCCTGACATAGCAAGAGGCAGTGACTGTGTGATGAAAGGCCCTTTTCATGCCACTCAGAGAAAGCTGTCATGCAGGTCAACACAAAGATCCACTATATGCTCAGAGTTTAGTAGCCAAAAAAATTTTTACTTAGAACATTTCTGTACTGTCTAGACACGACTGAAAAAACCCGGCTATCATTTACTATGCAGATGTTTTACGACACTGCACAGAACTGAACTGAACTATCTGGGTTTTGTTGGAGTTTCTGGCATGTTGAGGAAAAACTCCCAGGTTTGAGTGAGCTGTCTATGAGTCCTGGATGAGGAAGAGGGGAATCAAGGATTTTCATTACTAAAATCTTCACAAAAATCTCAGAAAGCAAACTCATTCAGGTAATTTGCTACACATAAAAAGTGGTCTGGAGTGAATTTTTCCCTCAGATTTCACAGTATTGATTTGATTTGCTGATCTGTGGGTGAAAAGGTTTTTGATTTGTAATTCTGTGCTTGTGAAATGAATAAAACTGCTTGAGCAAATACGACTGCAGAATGTGCTTATGCAGAGTACTGTAGACATATGCTTTTGTATGTTATATTCACTTAATTCTCACTGTGTAGTGTTTGCTTTTCTTTCTGTAAATGCTATAAATAATCCCTGAGTGGACTTTGCAATACTGTACGGATGGGTGAGATTAGATATCTGGAAGGTAGGGATGGGTTCTTCTCCAAGCATGATCACGATGTGATCTTGCGTATGTCGCTTCTTGCAGTGCATGTTTCCTCACTGTAAAGATCCTGATTCTTCATATGACTCTTCTGGACCTATAATTATTCTAAACCACATTCAAGATACTGAATTGGAAGGTATTAGCCAAGGGAAACTCATCATTATAAGATGTATATAGGTATGCAATACAGTAATTCTGCATGGCTGGGAAGCTGTGAGGTACGAGTTTGGAAGGCAGGTAGGCAAAACTGAAGCTTTGTTCACTTACCTTCTATTGTACTAGGTAATTGGCTTGTCTAACAGGAATGAATATAGAGACAAATGAATACATTTGAAAATTTAGCCTTAAAAATGTGTATGTATTAGAGTTTTGGGTGGACTCATCTTTGGATCCAGAACTCTTAGTTCTCCAAGTTTTAAGGGCCAAGACCAAAAGGACGTAGATACCAGAACTAGGACTTGAGTTCAAACGATGGAATTTTCCATATAGATCTCACCTAACACAGCTGTGCATTACAGCTTAATTTTTCCTTTTTTTGGCATGTGACTTTCCCTGAGCAGCTCTTTTGCCTGTGCTCAGAACAGCAGCCACAAAGAGGCATCTTCTCCCCAGTAGCTGTGCTTAGAGCTATTTTAATCTTTTTGGTTTGCAGACCTCACACGCGTTTCAGATGAATTTGGTATAGAGTTGAGGCTGTGGGATTATGGAACAGGACAGGAGCTGGAGAAAAGTGTTGATGCACTGCTAGAAATACCTAGTAGTCGTGCAGAACAAGAGGTAGTTATTAATAAAGTATCTTGCACACAGCATGAGACCTGGCAATGCTGTTCAGTCTGCTCTGCCATGTAACAGAGCATGAGTTGTATAGGTCATGATATCATAACGGGAAGGCATACAGTCCCTGTCTTACACAGAAAATCCATCCCTGTTGATGCCATTGTGCTGTTCACAGTTTTGGAGCCAGGGAGGTTGCTGTTAAGAACATGGCTCCTGTTTGATAACAGTCCAGTGGCAGACTAACATAGAGTGAACTGTGGTTATTTGAAAGGGTGCAGGAGCTTACCCACCAAAGAGATGCTCACTGTGCCTGGGTCTGTAGGGAATGAGAACACTTTTGGAGAGTCCCAACATGGAACAGAAGATAAATGCAAACCTCTACCTCTGGTATCTTCTGTTGGCTATCTATCAGCAAATGTCCTGTGTGTTGACTTTAGATAGCCCTCTGCATACCATAGCCTGGTAGCTCTAGGGGGAAGTATGCTATGGTGGAAGGTGGAAGAGTTGGATTGCTCAGGTTGAATTGCTTTCTAATTAGAAGGCTGCTCTAGAAATCTCTGAATATTTTTATATGGAGAGAGAAGCCAGTCTAAACATTAAGTATTGTAGTTGCTTCTACTCTCGCATGGGTTCCTTTGATATGGTTAGGACCATTTGCTTAGGCTATTTTAAGACAGTAGGTACTTGGGTTGGTATTGTCTTTCCAGCCAGAAGAACTGAAGGTAGTTCATCTCTCTCTGAGCTAGCAGACTGCTGGAGGCATGGCTGTGTGTGAACTGTTATATAGGGCTGATGCATGACACCTTGGATACCTCCATATGACATCATCAAACCTGGGCAGGAGGAATAGAAATCGTATGCTCCAGCCAGGAAGACCGATGTCGAAGAGGAGGTATTTCTGCATAGCTGTAGGATCAGTGCCTTGTAATGGGCTGACTGCAGGAGAAGGGAGTGGTTTGAGCACCACACGTAAACTCACTTCTCTCACTTTGCCCCTTACATGTTTTTGAGAGACTCACACTAAAGCGATTAGTAGCTGTGTTTTATAGCTACTCATGAGATGGTGATTAAGTGAACAAATTTTGAGACAGACTCTTCGGTGCCAACCTCAGCACTGCTAGCTCCAGTACTCATTTGGTAATGAATTAAGTCGGAAACATTGCACAGAACATTAGTTTGGTTGATGTTTGCACTGCACAGAGAAGGTGTGATTAGCACATAAGGGGTATGTTGTTATTAGCACTCCAGGACTGCAAGGCAGTGTTTGAAAGGGAGGCCTGGGAGTTGGACTTTTCAGGGTTCCGCTGCTGCCTCTAGCACCAGGTGAATGAGTTTCTGGCTGAAGTTTATCAACCTCAGCATTACTTGTAGTAGCTGGTATTGTGACTGAGAGTTTTCTGGAAGATTCTGGATGTTTTCTGGAAGCTGGGAGTTCTGGCAATTGCTGTTGGTATCTTCAAGTTTCATCAGGGCTTGTCTCATCAAGACTTTGCTGTTTCACATTCAGACAATATGTTTCCACTATTAAATGTTGTTTGATATAATCACCTTGTTTTACTGTTTATAGGCAGCTTGTACTACAGCACACATTCTAGCAGAACTGTTCTGCCTACCTTCCATTGTGCCCATTATTATGTTTTCCACTTTTGTGTATTGTTTTGGTCAGATGCAATTTACTTGAAAACCAGCTTTTAAAAAGTGTGAAGAGCATTCTTTGCAGAGTGTCATTGGCTGAAATAAAGTCACTGTGTAAAGATTGTGTCTTCTTGGGTAACAAATCTTAATTTGGCAGGTGTACTCGCTGCATTTAAAAGAAAAAATAAATATATATATATATATAAACGAGATTTAGACCAAGCTGTACAATGCCAGAAATATACTCATTGTAGTTAATTTTCAGCAACTGAATTGAAGTGACTGTTGGACTACAATAAACCCTCTGTCTTATCTTTGCACGATGGAACAGACTGCAGATAGCAGTTTTATCAAGGAAGCCTCACAGAAAGACAGTGCTGCTGCATTCTTTTCTATTTCACAACATTGCCAGCAATAGGTTTATTCTACAGGATATCAGCTTCCCTCCTACAGAAGGTGATTCCTTGCTTAAGAGAGATATAATGGGGAGGGTCTTTCCAAATTTGCTTGGAAATTGCTTTCTCTGTGCTGAACTAAGACTTTTAGCCCTTGATTTTCATAAATACTGTATTCACTCTAAGTCTCATGTAGCACATTCATTTATAGTTTAATATAAATGGTCCTTCTTCATGTTTTTAGGGAGTCCTTGAGATGGCAGCAATGGCAGAATTCAACAACATCCGTTCGGTGACTGAAACATCAGAAGGAGATGATGCTAAACGCAGTTTCCATCACAGAATGTTCTTGGAACCCCAAGAGAAGAAGAGGAGCATGAAGGCTCTGGTGATTAAGCAAGCAAAGAAAACTTGCAGCTGCACTCCCGCCAAAGTTAAAGGCTATGTTTTCAGTTTCTTTCCCGTCTTGCAGTGGCTTCCTAAATACAAACTAAGAGAGTACCTACTGGGAGACATAATGTCTGGTGTGATTGTGGGGGTCTTGCTAGTCCCACAGTCAATTGCCTATTCTCTCTTGGCTGGACAGGAGCCTATTTATGGCCTTTATACATCCTTTTTTGCTAGCATTATTTATTTCATATTTGGAACTTCCCGCCACATCTCAGTTGGCATCTTTGGTGTGATTTGCCTGATGGTGGGACAAGTGGTGGATCGTGAAATACAGAGAGCTGGCTATGACTTAGAGCCGGCCGCGCTCAGTGTCCTCACAGGTACAGCAGCATATGTAAACACCACTATTTTGGCTGTGAATCAGACATCACAGAGGCTGCTCTGTGATAAAAGCTGCTATGCAATTACAGTGGGAGCCACCATGACCTTCATAGCTGGAGTTTATCAGGTAAGAGGATGTGGACAAACAGGTATTCTGTGGAAATAGTTTTAATTCTTTAGGTGACTGTCCTCATGAGCAACCTGCTGGGCTTGCATGTGTCCTCAATATGCATGCCAGGGGAGTGGACACAGGGAGGACTGGAAGTTCTCCAGTTTTGTGGTTCAAGAAACTCAACTGTGTCCTCTCCTTTCTTTTTTTAATAGCATATTGTGCTTGCATTGCTACTCTGTTGACTGTGAGGGCCTGCACATAACCACCTGCTGCTCTCACACAATCTGGTCATCATTTGTTCTTGCAGTGACCTGCAGGTTGCTAGCTAATCAAATTGTATAGGAGTGGAAAAGGAAACATATCTGTGATACTCTAAAACACTGGTTTTAGACATGACCTGGGACTTTCTCTTGTATTGCAAGTTAGTGTTGAGTAATTTCAGAAATATTCTGGGACCCTTGAGGTACACTGAATTTTGTGTTTCATCACTATAGGATGGATGCAGTTTTGGAGTTGTGAATTGCGCTTGCTATTTTTTGCAAGTACAAGTACAATTAAGTTTATATGAAGAAGTCAGATTAAGTCCCTCTGAATGTTAGGCATATTCTACTTGCTGTCTCTCTGCCTGCTAACCAATAGGTTTTCACACCCTCAAATATATCTTATTGGAAGCTTCAACCAAAATCACGTGCTCTTTATATCAGAAAATTTGCAATCACATCACAAAAAACAAGCCTGCTCACACCAGTTACCTACAGCATAACCAGATAAGACAATTACGGTCAGTGTTTTACAGTTAGAAAAACCTTGAATTAATTTAATTACCAAAGCTGCAAGGGTGCCTTTTTTAGAGTTTGGCTCTGAGCCAGCGTCTGGTCAGTCTAGGTCCCAAACCTACCTTCTCTTCAGTAATGCTTTGTGGTTCTTAGAAAGTTTCCAGCCATGATCCTAGCCTTCTTTATTTTACCTTAACTACCTAATAGGATATATCAAATTGACACTACTTAGAGATGAATACCTATAAGTTCTGGCCTACAGTCTTCTCATACCAGTGTAGACATTCCTGTTGGCAACTACAGGGAATTAAAAGGTTTCTAGCAGACTGCTGTGAGAAGGTCCATGCTCCATTAGGCATGAAGGTTGGTGGGGAGGAAGGGATGTGTACCAGGTATGAAGACACATATGTAGAGTAGGTATCCATAAAACCAGTCATTCTCATGAGAAAGCACCAAGGATTTGTCCATTCAACTAGAATTAATAGAAATTAATGACAAGGCATTTTCAAAATTTATCTCTATTTATATAATCTGCATCACAAGAGTTTGTAGCTCATATACTTTTTGAGTCAGATACACCAAACTTTATGCAGTGCAAAGGACAAGTTGGTATGCTGTAAGCTGTATTTTTATTGTAGGTTGTGAGCTCCAGCATAAGACAAAGACAACCAAAAAATGTTTTGGATCCATGCAAAATTCACAGAGATTATAAGAACTTGGGAGAGATATGGCAAAAGTAGCCAGTATTTCAAATGCTTTTTCCCAGACTTTCTTTTTTGCCTGCTAGGGTAACTAGAAGTTAAAACTGAACCAATGAGCAAACAATAAAACACAGGTTCAGAGTATGAAGACTCCCAAAAAGGCTTGTTCTGTGTTAGAAATGCATTTAATTTATATGTGGTGTACGAGGAGCAGCTGAATGCTGTTTTCTTCATGCTCAGACCATGCTTTGTCCTCCATGGCCGTGCACAGTGTTGTTTTTTTTAAACCCACCTCCCTCCAGAGCCCCGCAGTGATGATATCTGTAAGATTTGCATCCTAATCTGTTGTGTGTGGTTTATTCCTTCCAGGTGGCCATGGGTTTCTTTCAAGTGGGCTTTGTCTCAGTGTACCTCTCTGATTCATTGCTGAGTGGATTTGTCACAGGTGCCTCCTTCACCATCCTAACCTCACAAGCCAAGTATCTCCTGGGCCTAGACATTCCACGGAGCAGTGGCGTCGGCTCCCTCATAGGCACATGGATAAACATCTTCAGAAACATACACAAGACCAATATCTGTGATCTCGTCACCAGCTTCTTGTGCTTTCTTGTACTTATCCCAACCAAAGAGCTTAATGAACATTTTAAATCCAAGCTCAAGGCTCCAATACCGGTTGAACTAGTTGTGATTGTGGCAGCTACTCTGGCATCTCACTTTGGGAAGCTGAGAGAGACTTACGGCTCAAGCGTTGCTGGACACATCCCAACTGGGTTTCTGCCACCCCGCCCTCCAGACTGGAGCCTGATTCCTAACGTGGCTTTGGATGCTATCCCCATAGCCATTATTGGCTTTGCCATCACTGTTTCCCTCTCAGAGATGTTTGCCAAGAAGCATGGATACACCGTGAAGGCCAACCAGGAAATGTATGCCATTGGCTTCTGCAACATCATTCCTTCTTTCTTCCATTGCTTCACAACAAGTGCAGCTCTTGCAAAGACTCTTGTTAAGGAGTCCACAGGCTGTAGGACACAAATGTCTGGCATGGTGACTAGTTTGGTAATCCTATTAGTCCTCCTTGTGATCGCCCCTTTATTTTATTCCCTTCAGAAATGTGTCCTTGCTGTCATAACCATTGTAAACCTCAGAGGAGCCCTGCGGAAGTTCAGAGACCTGCCAAAAATGTGGCATTTGAGCAGAGTGGACACAGTGATCTGGCTAGTTACTATGGCAGCCTCAGCACTCATCAGTACTGAGATTGGTCTTTTGGTTGGTGTTTGCTTCTCTATGCTCTGTGTCATTTTCCGAACTCAGAGACCAGAGGCACCGCTGCTTGGCTGGGTAGCAGAGTCTGAGACATATGAATCACTGTCTGCTTACAAGAACTTGCAAACCAAGCCAGGAATCGTGGTGTTCCGTTTCGAAGCACCCCTCTACTACATCAACAAAGAGTGCTTTAAATCCACCCTTTACAAGCAAACAGGGGTCAACCCAGTCTGGGTGAAGGCAGCAAAGAAAAAGGCAGCAAAAAGGATGCTTAGAGAGAAAGAGGTGGAATCTGGTGGCAACCAGACCAGAATCTCCATGGATTTTGTTTCTGAACCTCTGGGGTTTCACACAATAGTCATTGACTGTTGTGCAGTACAGTTTCTGGACACAGCAGGAATACGCACGCTCAAAGAAGTCTGCAAGGACTACAGGGAGATAGATGTCCAGGTGCTGCTGGCCCAGTGCAATCCTTCGGTGAGGAGTTCCCTGATCCGAGGAGAATTCTTTAAAGAGGGGGAGGACCACCTTCTCTTCCACAGTGTGCACCAGGCTGTAGACTTTGCATTGGATGCGCGGGGGCACAGTGGGACCAGAGCTTCTAAGAGCTAGTTGTGGAAGGGAAGCAAGTTGGAACAAAACCTGGGAAAAAATGGCAGTGGGTCTGCATGTGTACCCAATAGATATGCACTTGGATAAAAAGAGACAGAGTTGTTCTTAACACACTTGGTGTTTTCTCCCAGGGGAATTTACAGTCTGAATTGCAGATTTTTCACAGCTTTTAAAAGGGAAAAGGTGCTGTATACAGACAATATTCTCATATTTAATCATTCAGAAGTAATGAATCAGGAGTCAAAAAATGAAAAAAATGCAGTATGAATTGTGAAGCCTTTTCTAAATAGAAATATATTTTGAGTTTAGGATTGGTTTCAGGTTTTTTTGAGCTAGGACCAGTAACTCTTCTTTCTGTAAAAGCTGAAATGTCACGTATCACTTCACTGTAGGAGCTGGGACTACAAGAGGAGGACTAGCTAGCAGAAACATGAGTCCCACAACCTGGCAACCTTTATATGTTAACTGAACTTACTACATTTTTTAGGACACCATAGCAGGAGATAGAGATACCGATGAATGTGGAGGGTAGCTGTAGCATATATTAAAAAGGTGCACCTAACTGAGATCTATGCATTATGTGTTCTAGAACTGGCTTTGTTAAGGAAACAAGTCTCCAAGTAGCAGAGAAAATGCTAAAGCTTCTGCAGTATTCAAAACGCACAAATACTGTTCTTTCTCAGCCTTAAGGCGTGTTTATACAAGGAGATGAATCCCAAATAGCTACCGCTGATTTTTTTCTTTTCTGCAGTAACCTCCCGCATGAACTTTTTTATTCTGGGCTAAGAATCCCTTATGCTGTTTGGATAATTATAATTACTGAATTGATATTACCAGAGTGGATTAGCCTAAACCATATAAAAGCAGTGAGTGGTGTTAACGCCTACGTAGGGAGTGAGTGCAGGATGGAAATTGTTTTAATTCCTCACCATACCTGTTTTGCATTGAGTTTCCAGAGCCCCAGGGTTGGTGTTGACATAGAGCTGGCACACGCATGTTATCTCCCACAGCTGGGTGCCAGCCTTGAGAAGGTTTGTCACTGGAGGGGTTTGTGCCTGGCCACCAACAGGCTGGTGGCAGGGAGCCTTGCAGACCTGTGCATTCAGCCGATGGCAGTGCTCTGGCCTGGGGGAGTCTCTTTTTAGCACAGTTTGTCCACATTACCAGAAAGTGTCTCTAGAACTTTGAACAAAAGCCTCAATACCATTTTTAACCACTGATTTTAACTATTATTTTTCAAAAGTGCTAGAAGCAATGCCTTATTCTCAAAGCCTCGATGAAAAATTACAGCACAGCATACAATAAGCTGTGCGTGTTGTTACTGGAAATGTTAGTGCGCTACCCCCAGCTACTTGTTCTCAGCTCTTTGCCCCTCAGGCATGAGCAGCTGAGGGAGAGGAGGAATCATCAGCAGGACAGGAGCCTTCCTCTAAGGCAGGTCAGCAGTGGGTGGGATAGAAGTAAAGTAGAAATTGCTCTGTGTGATTCTTTTCTCTTTACATGCACAATTCCTCTCTCCTGTACACTTTCCATGCTGCCAAGGTAGAGTTTTTTTGACCTGTGACCATGCGCAGGTTTGTGTAGCCAAATCCTAACTGGCAATAGGAAAACATTAATTATTTATTAAAAGATGGTTTTTTTCAAATCCATTTCTACCTGTGCTAGGAAGGAAGGAATAGCAATATTACTTTCAAGAATTACCCACCTTCCACAACTAGCAGGATGCATATTTGTCACTCCTGGATATTTGTTTACATAAAACCACAATAAAACAGCCATAAATTGATTTTCAAATAATTAATTTAGATTACAGCTAAAAGATACACTGAAGTGAATTATGTTTCGCTGGAGTACATTGCATTTGGCCTCACTGCTGTTTGTGCAGCCATGACTGGCAATACAGCCTACAAATTCCATTTCAAGCAAAATACAAGAAACCATTTTAAAATGCAATAGCAAAAGCAACAAGACAAGCAAAAGAGCAACTATTACTGTTCTTATTTAAGATAACATCCAAAGGTCATACTATTAATAAGTCTATATTAATGCACACAGCCCTGGTTAAAAGGGAACAGAAGTGCCATTTGCCAGAGAGTTCAGTATAATAGAGTCCTTTGGAATTAACCAAAGATTAGACCTTATCATGGCTGGAATTTCTTAAACGTGGGTTTTCAGTCATTTTCCTTTTAGGCCTAGAATCATGTTCTAAGAAAGACATGAATCTGGTCTAAGCCTACTAGCAAGAAGCATGTTTTGCTTGAATATGTTTATGGACTACTTTAGAAGTAATCCAATTTCATCTTTAAGAATCAGGGACTATTGACTGAAAACTGTGGTCCTAAATAATTTGTTTTATAAATGAATTTCATATATATATGAGTGTGTATATATACACACCTTTTGCTGCTCTCTGACGGATGGAGCAGCTATATATATACAGTTATGTGATACTCCAGTTTCTGTCCTGGAAAGGGCTCTTCTGCCTTCTACTGTTTTATATGAAGAGTGGAAAACATGTATCAGATTTTATAAAGGGAAGTCTGCCATACCCACTGCCTCCTATGCCTTTTCTTACCCCTGCCTCACATCTTAATTTGCAATCTATAGGAAGAAGGAATCTCAGAATGATTGGTTTTGCATTTATACATCTGTCCAGAACAGGAACATTCATCCCAGGTGCAACCTTCAGAATCCCAGGCCAGACTGGAAGATAGTATAAATCAGTTGATCACCATTCCCAAATATACTAATCAGCAATTATCAGTCTAAATGAAGAATTAAGAGATCATTAGCACATTCATTAATGACAACAACACAGCATTATGGAAATTAACACTCACAGTTTCAGCTATACTAAATACTCCTGGAAACGTCTTTAGTAGTCTCCTGCTAAATGTCAGGCTCTTTTTTTACATTTATTGCTGCTATAGATAGTCAGTTCCTCCTAAGGTGGCAGTTGCACTAATAAATGTTTCACTTGTGTGAATGTTTTGACACCGAAACAATTTTCCATCCACACTATAAAACAGGGAAAGATACTGCAGTGGGGTACATGGTTCTTATTTCTGGATTTATAATGACATTGTCAACCTTAGTCTTGGCAATTTAGTGATCCTGTTTTCCTTGTAAGCCATTGCAGCTCCATCTGTTCCTCTCTAATTCACTGTGAGACTCACCTCCACCTTCTTGATATTTCTTTCTGTGTTTTGCTGTAAGACATTGCATATGATTGCAGGTAAATAGAAGAGTCATTGCCTTTCTGTATGTTGCTATAATGTGTGACCTGCTACTCTGTTCATGCCGGATCTTTTGATAAGGCTAAAGCTTCTGAGCAGAGAGTGTGAAACAACCCCCAAACCCCACCAGCCCTCTGGGTGCTGGGTCTGGGAGAAGGGCGGCTGTGGGCAGCTGGTGGGGAGCACCCCTGTGCATGTCCCCCCACGCGTGTGCTGCAGCCTCAGCCTGGTGTGGGGCTGTGCAAAGGTTTGTGTAGCTGCAGGAGTAACGGTGCTGCTCAGGAAGGACAGACTACCCTGGAGGTGTCTTTATTGTGGGGCTGCTGCGACACTCTGCTACACAGCCATGTGCCTTTCTCCATAAGGAGTGTAATAATAGCACAGGCCCTAGTTCCTGCTCAGTGCTGTTGCATGAGTCACTGTCCCAAACTACAAATATAAGGGATTTCTGTTTTAATGCTTATTTATTTTTATCTGATTTCAATCTGAGTCCACCCATGGCCCTCCCGGCCAGGGCAGCAGAGCTTCCGTGACTGCTGCGCTCCTTCCCCGTCAGCTGCAGCGATGAATAGAAAGGTGCTCTCTTTTGAGAAGAAAAACAGCCATTCCTTCCTCTCCACTCGCTCCTGCTTGGTTGTGCCAGGAGATGTTAAAATCCCCTGCTGATAGGTCTGAAGTGCAGAGGTGAGGTACTGCAGGCAGGAAAGCATCCTGGCTGCCACGCCAGGGTTGTAAGCTGGTTGATACCCAGCTGCCTCCCACAGCCTTGTGCTGAGGTCAGCCATGAATGCTGCCTGTGCCCGCTCCTAAATCTAGGTGGATTACCTAGTGGGCTCCAGTCTTTCTGTGGCCAAATCTCCCTTGAGAAGACCAGCAACACCGCTATCTCCTTGGGTCCAGTTCCCTGAATGTTTCACCCAGGGGCTGTGTAACTCTCTCTTGCCCACCACGCTTAGCTGTCTGCTGTCATCTCCAGTGCTGCTGGTGCTAAGAGCTTTTAAGCAAGTTGAAGTCATGTCACCCACATGTCTCCGTTCCTGAAACTGTGCAGGAGCACCCATGCTGGCCCTGCAGCCGGGCACACGGGGGGGCACAGGGCTCACCCAGGCTCAGCACTGACCTTGACCTCCCCATGCTCCCAGTGCAGTGAGGAGCACGGCTGGGCCCTGGGAGGCTGCTGGTCTATAAGAAGATCATAGAAACTGGAACAAGAGGAAACCCTTTGAGTTGAGGGTGAAACTCTTTAGGCAAATAGTTTGTTTCAGGGCATTATCTTCTGTTGTGAGTTTGTTTGTTTTTGTTTTTTTTTTTTTTTTTTTCACATGCTTTGGAAAGGTGATTAAATGACTGAGGTGATTTACGTTTTTAAAATTTTTTTTACTGACATGGCTAAGCCAATGAAGCTGTGGCACAGACGGCAGTCATTTGCCACTCATGCCATACAAGGTGCTTTGTATCTGTAGCTTATTTTGCTTTGCTGAGTCTCAATGTAGGATACCATCGTGAGACTTCAATATTGATGTAACTGTCCACACTAGAAGGGCTTTGCACCTCTACTATGCTGGCATAGGTAAAAGGAGCAATGTCTTTAGTGCAGGCTTTGTACTGTGAATGACCTTGTTAAGTCCTAAGAATTACTTGCACTTGGTTACCATGTTTGTAAGCCATTGTAGGATCAGCTGCTTATGTGAAAAACTACCTGATTTTTATTATTTCAGTCAAATTCCACCTGAAGTGGAAATAATTCTGAGTCTTGCTTTTTATTTTGAGATCATTACAATGCTAACAGTGAGGCCTCTGGTTAGGTAAAATGGCAAATATTTAATATATATATACACACATATTTAGTTCATAGTATAATTAGTGCCTTTCTATTTTATTTTCTAGAGATTGTATAAGCTAAGGCATATTGCTCTTCTCTCATGTGGAAATAGACAAAATATTTCAGCACAGAATGGAGAATCAAATCTCCATTGAGTAAATTTACTGCCAAAAATATTTTAATTCCAGCTCTGAGAACACTTAGCTCTTAGTCCAGCTCTCAGATGATCTCAGGACTCCACAGATAGATAGGAAGCGAAACATTTTGCTGGACTTGGGTCCAAGTTTTTTATGTCTAATTTTGACTTCATTAATTGACTAAATATGTCTAATTGATTTAAGGAAGTAAATTTTATGTATATTTGAAATGCAGCTGAAACAAGGAGAGCTAAAGCCTCACTTTTTCTGGGAAGCACATGGTACTTTGAGTTCATCAGTCTCTTGAGTCCTTGACCATCATCTTTGGTACCTTGGTATGTTCTGGGGTATGATTTTTGCCTTATTTTAAAATCAGAATAATTTTAGATATTTGTGACATAATGCTTTGCAGAATACACAAAATGGCAAATTTTGCCCGGAGTAGCTTTTTCAAGTTGGAGAATCAGTTTAACCAAACGGTACCTCAGGAATGGAATAGATCACATCGGTCGGCTGACCTATCCAGTTTACAAAATTGTTTATTTGAATGAAATGTAGAAAAGTTGTAGAGTATGTGTAAGAGGCAGCCCTTACTTTTTACTGTGACTTAGCTGTTCAGTGAAAACAAGGTACAGTTGAGTGGTGGAATCCAGGGTGCTGGGAGTCCATGCTGGATGGGTGCTTGCTGACACGGACCTTGCCTTGTGCCCAGCCTGGGGAGAGGTGTCTTGCCATCAGCTCCCCATCAGGTGCTGTGCTCACTGACCAAATGTTTGTGATGAAGTTATATTTTGTCAGTTGTCTTCTTATGTCCTACCATCAGCTACGGGATATAGCCTCTGCGTGTTGTTGACTCTCCTTTACACTCTGTCTGTTAGATCTGTATCAATTGTAATTTTTAAATGCTAATGTGCCTTACTGTCATTGTAGAAGATATGTTAGCACAAGACTTTCAATCAAATATGGTAAAATCTTTGTGATTTCTTTATCACCATTAAAATATTATATTTATGTATTTTTTTTCTGTTGTCAGACATATACTTGATAACTTAGAAGGTGCTGCAGGTATAAGTTTTAAGAAGAAAAGCCACACGCGTTTGAGCAGTGAGTCCCCAGTCCCCGTTCCTCGTGGCAGTTGTGCCCAGTCCCTGTTGTATACACAGCTGTGTGCACTGTTTGCCCGCAGTGTGTGTTACACATGCAGGCACACATGGAAGTTTCCTGCCAATGTAACCAGGGCACTGACTGATGATACGTGGCCAGCAGCAGGCTTCCACCTCGTCCTGACTTCAGTGCTCTGTGCAACCAGGCTGCAGTTTGTCTCATGAATAATAACAAGTAGTAAGCAATGATGCGCCTTGTGCCGGTGAGCAGCACCCTCCTGTGGGCCAGGTCCATATCCCTAAAATGCAAGAAATGACAGATTTGGTCAGCTTTGGTGTTCCTTGTACTTTACAATATAGGTAGTTATAGCGTGTGGTATTATATATTCAGCCTTACGAAACTGCTGCAATGTATTTCAGTGTTACTTGACATAACAGGTTGTATGACGTGGTCAGGTCATGCCCACTAACAGTCAGAGCAAATTTAGAGCAGCTATGGGTGCAGTTCTGGGCAGTTACTATGAGAATTACCTCTGCATACATGTCCTCGAGTTATGCAAAAAATTTTTTTGATCCAGCGTGGCTCAGTTTTGACCTGAGAGTGCCTTTTACCTTAGGAGACCTCAGCGCACATGCTGTAATTTTTGTGTTGGTGCCAACAGCATGGTAGGAGCACTCAATTACAGAGAATGCCAGCAGGAGCTTTTTGCTCTCTTGGAAAGCATAGGACAGCCTTCAGCAGAGTGACTCTGATTCCTGCCAATACAGAGCTGAGCTAACAAGCTGCAATCAGCAGCACCCTTCACCAGTGCTACTCAAGGCTCTACCTTACCCGTGGACAACTAATTCTTGCCATACACGGTCCTGTACTAGATGAGACGCTGCCAGCCCCATCTCCTGGGTCACAGCCTGGTGGATGCTGCTTGGGAAAGGTGTACCAGGGGTCCAGCCCATGCAGAGCCCTCTCAGCACCCGGTAAGCAGCAGGCTAGAAACTTCCTGAGCACTTAGACCTTTGTTACAGCTTTTGCAGCACTTCTCCATGAAGCTTCCTAACCCCTTCTCTCGAGCCTGCTGACTCCCACCACACCCTGTGGCAGTCCAGCACACCATCTGTGTTGTGTGAAAAAGCTTCTTCTGTTTAAAATCTAATAGCAGATCCAGTCTTGCCACGTGGTAGGTAGTTGGAGATGTGCTGTGGTTTCTGGGCTTTTTGCACATCTGCTGAAACATCTTTCTGCCCTATGGCATTGGGATGTGACAGCTGTAGGCTCCCTCTCCGCTGCCTCCTGATGAGCTGGTGTGGGCTGGCTGCTGGGAGAGCCTGGGAGCCAGCCACAGGGCTCTGCCCCACGCGGAGCCCACTGTGCTGCGGTGGGGGGCAAGCTGTGTTAGCTGCAAATAAGGTGACCCTGTGAGCCAGCCAACAGCTACGGGGGGGAAGCAGCATCCCACCAGCACGACCTCAGTGCCATGAAGGGCTCGTAGGCAACACACGCAGGTCAAGCCTGAAATGATGCCAAGTAGCCTGGGCTGAATGCCAGTTCAGTATGAAATACAAATGTGTCTCCCCGTTTTTATTCCACTGTATTCATCTGTAATCAATTTAATCAGTTTACAGAGCCATTATAGCATTTTCAATTATTAGCTTGCTAATTTGGAAAAGGGTCATAAGTGCTGGACGTTTGTCATGCAGCGGAAAATGTGAAAACATCAATGAAGTGCTGCAGAAGCTGGCAAGGAATTATTTTCACCCTCATATAAATCGGGAATGCTCCCCAAATCCTCTACCTAATGTGCTGGCAAGTGCTCTTTTTCCCATTTTCTATGAGTGGGCATCAGTGCTGGGGGGAGGACTTGCACCAGGGTGTTAGCAGAATGGACCTAGTGTGTGGTGTCCTCGATAGCTGGACAGTTACTGTGTGGTGTATGTGGCCAAAGATGCTCTTCCACATGTTTTTTGCTCTGCTATGCCTGCACTGAGTCTCTTTCCAAGGACATACACTCCATCTCACATCTTTTAATATACACTAAAAAACATTCCTTGCATGTCTGTCTTCATGGTTAACTGCTGGGAGTGAACAGTTGCTTAAATAGATGCTCTGTATCATTATTTATTTGTAGGTTCCTTGGTCCCTCTCAAACTTCAGAGTAGTGTGACTGCATCACCATGTGCAGTCACTGGGTGAGTGACACTTTTGGCCTCACAGTGTTTATGTCTGGAGAGAACTTTATCTTTGCCTTGAACGCTCTGCTGTGACCCCTGCGTGTTAGCATAAACTGCCCTGCAAAATAACAGGAGGCTGAAAAAACTGTTTTATTTTCTGGGATGACCTAGTGTACTGCTTCCACATTCTCTGGTGTTGTCTCTTACAGAAATGTGAATAATTGCTTTCCAAGAAACCATAGGAGATGTTCTGTTCAGCCTTTTTGTCCTCAGGCACTTTTGTTGTGTTTTGCCATATTTAAGCAGTGGGACCAATTCAGGGCTTATCTCCTTTTCCTTGTTTTTCCCTTAAAAAAAATATGATGTTTTGCAGATGTCTACATATAGAAAATTCATTTCCAAGTGGAACTGAACCATCAGCCATCCGAAAAGACTGTCAAGTCCCTAATCTGAAGGGAAGGAAGAGCATCTCTCTTAGATACCTGGCACCGTTACCTGGCTCACTTGCCTTCAATAAAGTTGCATGTGATCTAAGTGACTGCAGAGCAGTGGGGTGCAGCCATGGGCTAAGCCAGGCTGGCCCATTTATGGAGCCAAGACATGTGGGATGCTACTTGAAAGGCTTCCAGAAGCCAAATAGTCCTGAGTGTACTTACAAGCCTTAAAGCAAATCATTGTGCAGTGCAGTTAGCTCTGTTCCAAAGAAAATTGGAGGTGCCAGCTCGTCTTGTTGAACAAAAGTGATGCATTAACACAGCAGCAGCGACTTGAATTCACTACACTTACCCACTGCAAAATGCCTGGGTAACAATCACAAACCCAGACAATGTAATTATTTTTTTCTACTTTAGGATAGAAAATCAAAATATTCCACTTCTGCATTTTCCTTGTCCTGGAGCTTCAGTTTCCAATGCTCTGCTTCTAGCTGGCTGCAATAGCTGTTGCATAGGTGGATGTTACATTGCTCACATACCGTGCCAAAAACGAGAGATTTGGATTTCATGCTTGTCTTAAAAACAGAGGGCGCCTTGTTACTGGCAGGCAATGTCCTGTCTACACTTGCATTGTTCAAGCTAATACCATGTGTCCAACCCAGCCTTGCCTAGAATGAAGCGAAACAGTTGAGTGGGTTTATAGTGTCAATAAAGAACAATCCTGGAAGATGCATTTGAAAACAAACAGTTTCAGCAGTTAGCTGTAGTGACCTTGCACTTGGAAGTCATCGTGGCTGTAGCCACCTCAAGGTCACATTAAGTTCTGTTGTGGGTTTCTTTTCTAAGTTCTCTGCTATACATTTTATAGAGCAAATGTGAAATGTTTACAGTTTCCACTCTTGCCTCACCTCATACAGTAAAAGTGACTTCAACAACGTAGTGTTCAGCATAACCAAGTATTTTCTTACATCCTCTCTGTCATGATGGAGAACGCAAAGTGGCATCTCCTCAGTGCCCAGAGCCTGAACTGCCAGCACAGACAGGACCCTGCCGAAGCTGCCCTAGCACGGAGGCTCAACATTTCACAGAGGTCAGCGCAGAGAACTGAATGCATGGGGAAGCCAGCTGGGACAAGGAGCTTGAGAACGTAATTGCAGGGAAAATCTGGAATATTTTGAGTATACAAAAGCAGCTGTCAATTTGCACGCGGGAAAGGAGGGGGAAAATTGGTAGGGAAGGATGGCAGGGGAGACATGGAGGCAGAAGGAATGGGAAAAAGAACTGTTCACCAAAACCTTTGCTTGGGAGAGGTGGCAGGGCATGGCTATATCAAGGCTTACCAAGCTGTACCAGGTGGTAAAGGAAATCATAACAAAGAGTTCCAGAATACATAAGTGAAAATGGAAGTTGGAAGGAAAAGCAGCAGCAGACAATGAAGGCAGGGCAGAGGTTAAAGGTAGCCTAGATACTGTCACAAATGGAAAGTGTTTTGTTCCATTTTCATGCTGGACAGATCAGAGATCCAGAACTGGAAATGAATGCCTCCAGCTTAAGAGCAAAACCTGAAGATGGAGTGCTCAGATGTATTTCATTCCAGCAAACAAGCCAACTTAAAAGACCAGCCTGGCCAGCTCTTTAATGACCGACTCACCAGTTCTTCAGTGACGGAATTTCAAGACGAAGGAATCATACAGGAAATGGAAATTTGGGTCATTTGCTAAGGAAGAACATGGAAAAGGAAAATGAGTGAGTAGAGACAACATCAGACAGGCCAAGACACAAAATGAGCTATAACTGAGAATTATAAAGCGTATGAAGGGATCATCTTTTAAGGACAGGAAGAATGGCGAGGCTAAGGCAAGATACAGTCCATTACTGAAAGAAGGGAAAGGGAAAGGGGAGTTATTAACAGATGTACCTGAAAATACCTGAGCTGTGGAGGAATGGCAGAGAATAAAGAATTCATATAAATAGGTAAATACATTGAGCAGCTGTCTGCCCTACCATGTGCTCTCATTTTTTCCTGCTGCCAGAGAGCACTAATGTTTCTTATCTATTTACATCTAATTACTGAGATACAGACTTCCACTGATGAGATAAATGTAGCTCAGGATGCGGATCTTCCCCTTTTCTTCCCTCAGGGTGTCTTCCAGCATCTAAATCAAAGCCTTGTGAAAATGTCATCTCTCCATATCCCGTACAATCTCTCCAAACACCATGGGCTCTTGGCCCCCTCCCCAAGCCCAGAACACAGTGCCAGGAGCAGAGGCAGGAGCCAAGCTGCCTGACTGCCAGGCATTTGTCCTGCTCCATGGGGCAATGGCACATCCAGCAAAATCTGAGGGTAGGTTGATAGAAAAGAGTTGGAAAAGAGAGAGTGGAGAATGAGGTGAGACTGGCAGGTGGGAATCTGTGCTGAGACATCAGCTGTAGGTTGTTGGCATGGATCACAAGGGCAGAACAGTTACAGCTGGTATTTATGAGGCTGCTGTTTCAATTCAGGATGATGAGACATAACCTTTTTCCTGCCCACTAATGCTATTGTTCACCTTTACCTACAAAAGAAATGCAACGCTGCACTTTACCGAATTGTGCTTACTTCTGCAAAGCAAAATCCCTTGTTATTTGTGCTATGGTCTCTAACAGACACGTGCAAAATATGGATTGTGCAGATTTGACAGAAATTGAGTTCTTCTGTCTACGTAGAAGCAACCTGTGTCACCACATGTTTGCTGCCGGTGCAGACCCGTGTGTACAAAGCCTGAGGGCAGCCCGGCGTTGCTGGCTCCGCGGAAGCGCAGTGTGGCTGAGCAGAGGTGGAGGTGCAGGGAGCAGCCAAGCGGGCAGCTCTGCCAAGCACAGGGTGCTGGTGGAAAAGCTATCAGGAGAGAAAAGTAATTCTGGAACAAGTTTTGCTTTTTGACGTTTTTTTTTTTGGAACAAGAGCTTGCCCGGAGTAGATGAAAACCTGAGCAGAGAAGCCTGGCAGGACTCAGGCAACGATGCTCTCTCAGTTCAGGGAGTGGCAGAGCAATAGCACATGCAGGATGATTTCTTTGCATCATTCCCCTTGTTTAGAAAACACATCTCCAGATACCAGCAATACTGTTATTTGACAGAAGCACTTCTCTAAACCCCTTCGATGATTCTTAAGGCCAGAACAAGTTTTCATCAAAAATACTCTCCCGGAACGATGTTTGTTTTCAAAATACAGCTCTGTTTGGCTGGCTGCACCATCTTCATCGGCTGGAGTGAGATAAAAGGGCCAATCGCTTGGCTGAGTAACTCAGCTCTCTTCTCAAGGGAAACGGCACGTGGACCAGAAGGAAGGCAATTGAAACAGGTTTGCAGTTGTCAGCCTTGTGCTTTCTGTGTTCAGTGTGCACTGCGAGGTGAGGAGACAGGTCCGTCCCCAGGGGAGAAGCTCCGCGTAGTGAGAAAACACCCAGTGTATCTCCCCACAGCCAGAGGTAAGAGATTTGGGTTGGGACTAGTGATGTGAAATGAATCCATAGGGCAGAGGAATGGGATTTCTCATCATCCCAGTTCAATTTCCAAACTACAGCCACTGTAGGTCTCCTCTCAGGAGAACTTTTCTCAGTGTGTTGTTCAATTTTGACAAAAAGGTATGTTTTCTTGCAGCGGCATTTTGACTGCAAAACTTAGAATGGCTCTGGAAAGTGTATATGTTACTTTACCAGACTGAAAAAGTAGGATGCTTTCATTCTGCAGAGAGGAGCCCCTGTGATGGGCCTGTTTGATTCAAGCCAGCAATGCAATTTAGAATTTTGAAATGTTAAAGGAAAGATTATTTTGCAGATTACCTCCCTCACCCACATGTTGCATTCCTAAAGCATCACTTGGAATATCTCAACATTTTCAAAATAGTTTTTGCTTAAGTGGAAGTGTCATTAAAATACGCAGGGTTCCTGAAGAAGTTTTAGTTTCAGTGAAATAATATTTTCTGAACATAACCCATTCTGCTGTCCTGTTTCAAAACAAGAGGTATGTTAGGAAGGAGCACAGGGGTCTCTGCAGCTCTGTCCCTGACGTAGGCGTCTGTGCCAGTGTGAATGCGATTTAAACCATGGTCTTGGGGTTGTGGTTAATCAGCTCCATAAGTGAAAACAAACAAATCAAATGGCACCACAAGAAGGTGCCTTTCTGTTTGCTTTGTCTGAGGTTATTTTCCTGTATTTATTTATCCATGCGATCTGCATGAGCCCTGGAGCAAAGCAAAGCAAATGATGTACCTGCCTGCAACACCTCGTGGCTGCCTGCTCTCCCAACTTAGCTCTCCTGGTGCGATGGAGGACACGTCAAGCCAGAAGCCAGAACGAAGCAAAGATGTACTGAGCTCCCTAACATCAGAAGAGAGTCCTGCCAATTTTATACATGTCAAATTGGAGGAGTATGACCTCCATCCTGGGGGTTGTCACCTTTGTCAACCTTCAGGGGGGTCTGAGGAAGTTCCATGACACCCCCCACATGTGGCAGCTCAGCAAGTTGGACACAGTGGTGTGGTGGACAACCATGCTGTCCTCCACGCTGAACACCACAGAGATTGGGCTCCTCGTGGGTTTCTGCTTCGCTTTGCTCTGCATCATCTTCCGCACGCAGAGACCCAGGGCCACTCTCCTGGGCAAGGTCAGCAACACAGAAATCTACGAGGGCCAGTCCACTTACGAGCAGCTCAGCAGTACTGCCAACATCAAAATCTTCCGCTTCGAGTCATCCCTCTACTGTGCTAACAAGGACTATTTCAAGACTGTTCTCTACCAGAAAACTGGGGTAAATCCTATATTGCTGGCTGCTAATCACCGAAGGGTGGAGGCCCAGGCAAATGCAGACACACGCAATGGCAGGAGCTTTTTCAACACCAGGTTTGACTGCCTGAAACCTGCCAAGAAAAGGACTGAGAAGCCTCCGGCAGATGCCTGTCCTCCTTCCGCAGATATGCACACCTTAATCCTTGACTGCGGGGCGATGCAGTTTATAGATACTGTGGGTCTCTCTGTGCTAAAGAAGATACAGCATGACTACAAGGAGATTGATGTCCAGGTGCTCCTGGCCAGCTGCAACCCTCCCATCCACCACTGGCTCCGGGAGGGAGACTGGGCTGGAGAGACAGACAGACAGTGGTGGTCAGCTGGCTTTCCACAGTGTCCACGATGCAGTGCACTTTGCTGAACGATGGTACCATGTGCAGCAGGAGGAGAACAAGGAGAAAAAGGGTGCTCTTCTGGACCCTGCAGGCCTGAATTTCCAGCTGTCTTTGTAGACCTGTGTGTAAGGAATGATTTCTAATGGGGATGGGCTCGGTATGTACTTGAGAGCAGTTTTAGTCTTTGTGCGGTCAGAGCATTCAAAAGAGATTTTGATGAACTGTCAGCAGCAGGCATGGGGCAAAAGGGTTGGGGAGGGTGTGGATTTCAGGAGAGATTGCCAGCAGGTAAGCAGCCTGAGAGGCATTTCAAGGTCTGTCATGTCGGTAAAGAGCCTGGATGGCTTTTAACCCTTCTCCTTTTCGGAAGGGGCTGTGACGGCAAGAGCAGGGAGAGGGGACGCCAGCCTCCCACCAGCAACTTCCACGGACGCGCCTCCCTCCAGTGCCTCTCCCCGCATCGCTGCCCAGCGCCGGCCCGGGCTCCCCGCTCCGCTCCCGCACGGACACGCGTCTCGCGTGGGCACTGGGGGGCACGAGTGAGCCGCGCTGCGCCGCCCGAGCCGCCGCTTCCCGGCCCCGGGGACCGGCCCCCCCCCCTTTCCGCTGGGAGGGAGCAGAGGGTTTGGGGGTGCTGGGTCAGACCCCTCTGCCCCCCGGGTGGGGGGGCGGGAGGCCGAAGCGCTGCATCCCGGCCCCCAGCCCCAGGCAGGGCTCTCGGGGGCGGTGCTGGGGAGGGGGGGTGCCGCCGGCAGGTCGGGGCACCCCGGAGGTTTGGGGAGCCGCTGGGAGCTCCCCCACCGTCAAGAGGCCACTCGACTGCCAGGATGTGCAAAAGCAGGAGGTGAGCCGTGTCCCTAACTCACCGGGTGACATTTGGAAGTGGTTTGGGCCCCGCACTGGCTGTACGGGCCAAGCGTGTCCTGCTGTGTTACAGGTGCTGCCACAGTCCTTGGGGCAGCAACAGGTATCGCTGCTGCAGTGGCAATCCCAGGAGGAGGGCTGGCAGCTCTTCAGCACCAGAGGTCTGTGAGTGACCCAAGCTTTATACCTGAAAATCCCATTCCTGCTGGCACCCTGGCATTAACCACCATCTGATTGCTTTTTGGGGAGAGGGAGGGTCAAAATGAGATGCTAAGGCAAAGGAGAGAGGATCTGTGGGCAAGGTCTGCCATCTGATCCTCCCAGGAGCCCTGGTGATGCTTCCCACCTCCCCATGGGGAGGCACAGCCCCAGCCTCCGAGGCCAGGAGTGAAGGTAAGCAACTCGGTTGTGCCGTGCCTTTTGGCTGTGCAGCTCAAGGTGTGCCTGCCCAGACAGGAAAGGGGCTGCGGCCAGCCTGGACCCAGCAGGAAGGTTCACAAATAGAACTGGAGCTTACTACGTGGAGTTTCCTTCTATGTGCACCTTCACTGTCCATATACTGGCCCAACACAGAATAGTCAGGGAAGGAGGTGGCGCAGAAGTGGCGCAGTCCCTTGAAAATTGCATCGTGGAGAAATGCACACCCCAAGGCACCTTTGGGTGCCAGGCAGCAAGGCCACTCACCTGCCTCCCGGGACGTGCAGCAGTGGGGGGCTATTTCCTGATGGCACTGCGGATGAGAACCACCAGTCCCACTCACTCCTTCACTCACTAATGCCTATTCATCTTTTTCCACCTTTATTTTGGACTGCCGTTCTCTTCCCCTCCATCCACTCTGAGTCAATGCGGGAAATGGATTGCAGAGGCTCATTTATTTTCCAAACACCCTAGGCATGGAGTTTAACAGCCCCTCAGTGGCCACAAAACAGCAACAAACCTGGCGACAGCAAAGCACTTTCCTTAAAAAAAAAAAAAAGCAAAGATGTTTCAGAAAACTGTTGGGAGTTTGTTCAGCTGGTAGTCCTTGCTCAGGCCGGGTGTGTGGCTCAGGACAGTCTGCTGCAGAGGAGGAGAGGCACTTTCCTCTGCTGTTATTTACAGAATGGGGTCCATGTGACTTCCATGGCTGAAATTACAGATTTCCTCCCCCAAAAAGGTATCGGAAATCACTAGATGCTCTTCATAAACTGTAAGTCAGGAACACCTGTGCCAGAGCTCGCAATGACCACAGTTCCCCCAGTGCTTGGCAGAATCTGTGTTCCCTTCCACATGTGCGGCTGGATCCTGACTGCGGCTGGGGACACGATGCTGTCACCCATGGCAGTGGGGCAGGGCTGACTCGCCCACAGCGGACACGGGGACCTGGCCTTTCTGCTGGGCCAGGACAGACAGTGTCCTGCTGGCCCTGCTCCTGCGTCCCAGGCATGAGTCCTAGCTCTGAGCTGTGAGACCCCACAGCATTTCCAAGCACCAGAATAGCTTTTCTTCTGTGAATTCCACCTGTAAAAACACCTCCTACATTGCATATTTAATATGTGACTATTTCCCCTGGCCTCATCCAAGAAACGCGGCACCAAAGAGATCCTGCTGAAGGGAACTCTAGCTTTGGCAGGCATTTGGGAGTCCAGGGACAGGAGACTGTTGTAAATAAAGTGCATGGAAAAGGAATTGTACTGCCTCTGCTCAGGAAAATGTCTTCTCGTGGTCAAAAGGCTATTTAAAATGGATTAAAGAACATGGTATGCCCAGCTGCTTGCAGATCCTTGGAGCAAGGTTGCAAGTGTCAGATGAAGCTAAATTGACTTAACAGGCCAGTACAAGCCTTGCAGGGCTGGACAGTCAGGCATACTCAGTGTACCCTGGCTGCGGGTGCAAGTGAGGTGCAGTTCTCAGGAGCTGCAGCACCTCTCTCCAAGGGTCCTCGCAGGCCCTTGCAGCATGAAGTAACTCCCCAGGGAGGTTGCATCAGCCATGGAGCAATGAGTAATGGGGCAGTTTTGTGTCTAAACAGCAAGTCAGTAAAGAAGAAAAGTCCTGTTACCTGCAAGGATTATGAATTTCCTTTCCCTTTGGAATAGCATTGCGATAATTTTCTTTATAATACCATTTATGGAGAAAATTAAATTGTTTTAGTTAGACTTTAGATGCATTTATGATCTCAGTAGGGTCATAAAGCCACAGCAGAACATAAAACCAGTGCTGATAATTCCTGGGCACAGCCTGGTGCAAGATAGCACAGATGAGATTACTGTCAGAGAGGCAATTGCCACAGCCCTCTGCCATGGGAAATGGCTGTTTATGTGAGCAGTTCCTGCTCAGAACTAGGAAAGCTGGGAAAATGCCAAAGAGATACCCAGCAGTTTTTATGGGATGCCTTCCCTTGAAAAGGAGAACCATGATGGCAACCTTCCTCCCTCTCCTCTCCAGCCCGGAGGAGCTGGGATCTCGCTGGCGGTCCTTGCACAGGCTGCTCGTCCAGGTCTCCAGCCCATCGGCTCCAGCATCACCTTCCAGTCCACAGACCAAACATCCCCGTGACCCAGCGTTCCTCTGTTCCCCACAGATCACCGAGGTAGCTCAAGGATAATTGCTATTTTTATATCAGTTCCTGTGAAGAGGGCCTGGGTTGTAAATGACACAGAGGAGAGATGAGGAAGGACAAATGACACAGTCCAAGGTCAGCTTATAATCAGTGTCATGGGAGATCAGGCTGGCCCCTCACCAGCTACATCTCCTGGTGGAGGCAGATGTGAGCAGGAAGGGACCACAACAACTGTGGGCCAATTCTCTGGTGAGGGCACAAGGCACTCATCTGCCCCCAGCACCCGACTGCAGCAGCCTGAGTCCCCCCATTTGCCAAAGGGCCTCAACTTCTCAGCTGGGGGCTGACCCACCGCATCTCCCACCCCAGAGGACCTGCTGCTGCGTCCTGTGCTGACAGGCTGCACCCCAGGGCATCTCGCGTGCCCGTCCCCTAAAGCTTCCCCAGGGGCCAAGGAAATGCCATGCAGCTGAAAGCAAATGTTATTCCTCCTGGTAAGCAGCTCACCTGTTATTCTTTCTCGCTCTCTCCCCCCTGCCTTGCTGTGGATCTATAAATACTCTGGGAGTGTGATAAATAGAGGAATGCTGCTAAGGCTTTGTCAGCTGCAGTTGGAGCTGACTGTGCAACTGTTAATTATGCCTCAGCAGCATCTGGACAGGTTTGAATCCTTTAGATGCTTTGAAATGCTCCCTCTGGGGAAGTTCAAGGAATAAAGGTTGTCGTGGCTGATGGGTGTTTGCTTCCCCTTCTAGAAAGCATATGAGACACTGATTGCTGCATGGATGGCTTTTCTCCTCGCTCCCGTTGCCTGTTCCTGGAAACACACTCTCTGTATAACAGCAAGAAGTTGCTTCTGCAGATCTATAACTGCAATAAAGCAGTTAGCCTGCTGACAGCATGTGCATAGAATTTACCCATGTAAGCTTTCCCTAGCAGACAAAACTGGGTTAGAAAGAGAAAGCAGTGAGCTGCAGGTTATGGCACTGGATTTTCTGGGAAAAAAAAATAAAGGTTAGGGCCAGCATTAGTGTCTCGCTAGAGATAGCCTGGTGACGAAGGAATCAGCAAACAGTGGCTTGGACTGAAAAGCTGCGGGTGGTAAGCTCCTGAGGGGTTCAGCACAATCCAGGGGCTCTGTGGGGCCCCCTTCTCCCCCAACTCCCCAGGAGCTTGCCAGGCTTAGCTGTAGGGGTGTCTGTGTCTTCATCTACAGGCTTGCTGCTCTGGGTTGCTTTATGGGTTTGCTGTGCCATATTTCTACTTGTGTTTCTCAGAAGGAAGGCTTTACTCTTACACATTCATGGCAGCTTCCAAATTCTTCCACTGAGTGAGGGGCATGCACCTCTCAGCTTAAGTCTTGATCTAAAACATTCAGAGTCATGGGATAGCCACATCAGAAACCTTTTCTAAGCCACTGGATAAAAATTCTTTCCTTTTTCTGCCACTCACCCCTTTCCTGTAGTACAAAGTGCCCTGGGTGCTATGTAAGCACCCTGTGTAGAGTTATCATCATGGATGATGCATGATGCCCTGGAAATATGAAAGCAAAATCCAAGATGCAAACATCAGATGGTGATTGTGAGCAAGTGTCTCCAAAGCTGTTTGCAGAGCTGGATCAGAGCCAGCCCTGGAGCCGCAGGGTTTGGGCCCAGACACCCTGTTCGAGCTGTGTGCTCAGGGGAAAGACAGGGAGAGGTAGGAGGACAGGCCTCCCTCTGCCCTGGCTGTTGCACTAGCTGTGCCAGGTTTTTATTACATGCACCAAGTTCACTACCAACCTGAGCTCCATGTGTCTGCTTAAGAAGTACTTTCCACACTTAGTCTCC